TAATAATCATGGAATAAAAGAGTTCTTGACCAGTATTATAAGGTATGTTTCTACAATACTTTTGAATATATAGGAATTGGCATTTTTTCAACACAACAAATAAAAAACAAACGAGTTTTGCTTTGCACGAAATCATATAGTTTGTTAAATTGAAAAAGCAAAACAACACCAGACCGTTTGGAAATATTTCGTGTGTATTAAATAAAATGCGATGAAAAGTAAAGACAAATTGAAATACTGGCACAATTTTATTGATTGGTTTATTGTTGGTTGCTGGTCTCGCAGTGGTGAAGACCAGACCAAGCCCAAACAAAAATGAATTCATAGTATCTGAAGAAGCGAATGGAACATGGTAGGAAGCTTTTGAAATGTAAAACATGAATGTTAGGAGGAGGTTGACCTTGAAAACCAGCCTTTCCGCTCAAACAGAAGTGTGTCGCTTTTTCAATACGTGACTTTTGACAGAATTACACGAGCTGTGACGTCTTACTTTGACATTCATATAATAAACAAATCCAAGATACAAAATGATGTAATATTTGTTAAATGACAATGTTACCCTCCTGATGTAATATTTGTTAAATGACAATGTTACCCTCCTGATGCGCATGTGGTCCTTATTTGGTTTTGGCTTCTCTTATGTTATTATGTTTGTTTTTTGGTCTTCAACGTCTGATGCTTTCTGATTTCCATTATTTGGTTTCTTGGCATACTACAGGAAAATAAATCTTCAAAATGTGCCTATGGTGATTCAAATTAATTTCGTCATTTTTTTTATTTTAAAGTTTTTATTTTTATAGGACGGGAGTAAGATTTTTGTCATTGTTTTTGACTATTGATCATTATACACGTGGAAAATAGGAGCACGTGGAATTTTGCATTATACACGTGGAAAATAGGAGCACGTGGAATTTTGTTTCATTTTACCGAAGAATTAATAAATAGTTATAGTTTTACTGTGCGTATTGCCGTGTGTTTGTTTATTCTACATTGGCTAGAGGTATAGGGTGAGGGTTGAAATCTCACAAAACATGTTTAACCCCGCTGCATTTTTACGCCTGTTCCAAGTCAGGAGCCTCTGGCCTTTGTTAGTCTTGTATGTTTTTTTTTATTTATTTTAGTTCATTCATATGTTTCGGAGTTTAGTGTGACGTCCATTTTCACTGACCTAGTACACATTTTTGTTTAGGGGCCAGCTGAAGCGGGATTTTCTCGCTGTGATGAAGACCCATTGGTGGCCTTGGGCTGTTTTGTGCTCTTTGGTCGGGTTGTTGTCTCTTTGAAACATTCCCCATTTCTATTCTCAATTTTATAAGTATGTTTTATATGCACAATTCTCGTCACACAATGTGTACTTTAAATGACCAATACTCCAATCCCTCTCCGCCACCATAGAGTAGTAGAGCAATAGTTTTTGTTGTAAGAACGCATTCGTTTGTTTTCTTCAAGTTTTTTGACAGGGTGATCTTACAGTCATTTCTCAGATTAATCATTCGTTCATAAAAGTTCTTATTAATATGTAAAAATACACAATGAAGTTACAAAGTTCTTGAAATAGGAAGAAACCCGATACTAGTATTTCAAACCATAATGCCTTATAGGAATTTCTATGAAAAACTTTTAACATGCATGCTTGCTATTTCTTTCACATTTACCAAGACAACTTCTTTTATTCCAATATTCAGATATAGTGCCAATATTCAGTTTCGGTTTTGTAAATTGTTAACTTACAAGACTGTTGGTGGCCTAGCTTGGGCTGTTTTCTGCTCTTTGGTTGGGTTGTTGTCTCTTTGACGCATTTCCAGTTTCCATTCACGATTTTAGTATCTATTAAATGGGATTACTACATGTAGTTGAAATGAAATGACAAGGACAGAAGGATTTATAATCAGACAACCACTACCTTTCGCCTAGTTGCATCAAAATTCTATTTGTCAGCAAAACAGAACATAATGTAGGTTAAACTCAAAGAACATAGCTAAACAGTGGATATGCTTTTTATTATCTATGTTAGTCGAGTATATATAGTTTTCTATTTGTTTAGAAAATTTTACGATTTCACAATTGATAATCTAATTCTCATTGTGTTGGACAATGGCTACAATTTTAAGAGGTTTTTATTTCACAATATTATATTAGAACTTTAGGCTGGTTGTAATTATTTCTTTCGCTTGTATATCTAATTGCACTATAAATTTCATTGGATTACTATGCATTTTTTATTTAGATTAAACGCCCATCGAGTGCATTTCAATTAATCTATAATATGTAGGTAAATCGTATATAAAGACGTTAATTTACGTTTTCGTTTAATTACACTTGAAGGTAAGAAACCACACACAAACAAACTTACACCATATCATGTTAATTCTAACAAAAATATCCTTTACAGAGTTGTTCATGGTAACATCATAATAGAGCAAACAAATATAAAAATTGTCTTTCATATTCTTTTTGTAATTTTTGCCTTAATAAATAGACATAGTAATAACAAAGGTTATGTATTGTTGTATGTTATTGCGTCTTGATTTTCTTTTTCTAAAGGTTGTAATGGAGGATACGTATTGTTTCGTTTAATTACAGTTCAAAGTGCTTCGAAATATTTGCTATCTTCTTCCTTGTATTGAATTGTTTACACAAGTTTTTGCATTGCACGAGCCACAGTTTTACTGCACTGATCTTGACGTGGAAGTTACAGGACCGACATAAGAGTGTGAAAATCATGATTGCGTGTACCTGTGTTTTCTGTCGTCTATGTTACGCTTTTATTAGAGTCAAGTGTGTTTTTCCTTATTTTTAAAGTAAAACCTTTTTATGTACTTTTTATTATCTTTTTACTCCTCTTATAAGGACGGTTGAATCCCGTCAAATGTTATGTGCCCTACCCGGTCAGCAACCTCTTCATTGTTTGGCTTTACTAATATCGTATACATCTCTTTAAAAATGGTGACAGTAAGTAACATTTTGAACGATTTAAAGTTATTTGTAAAGACGCTTGTGTATTGCTGTTTTTGTTTTTGTTTTCGTTTTTGTTTTGTTGTTTTATAAAAATAAGAAGATATGGTATGATTGCCAATGAGACAACTCTCCACAAGAGACCAAATGACACAGAAATTATATAGGTCATCGTACGGCCTTCAACAATGAGCAAAACCCATACCACATAGTCAGCTATAAAAGGCCCTGAAATGACAAATGTAAAACAATTCAAACGAGAAAACTAACGGCCTGATTTATGTACAAAATAATGAACGAAAAACAAATATGATACACAGCAACAAACGACAAGCACTGAATTGCAGGCTCCTGACTTGGGACAGGCACGTTTAAAATGTGACGGGTTTGTTTTGGGGTTTTTTTTTTGGGGGGGGGGGGGGGGTAGTCTTTTGTGTTGCAGTTTCATTGACATATATAAAGATCTCTTTTTATTTATATTCATAGTTGAAAAATGTAAGTTAACACTGTGTATTAATTTGGATCTGTAATATAAATGATAGCACGTCTACAGTATTTTTCCATGGTTTTATTATGAAAACATCTACAAATATATTGTTCATGCCAGACACGATCGTTCTATTTTAAAAGTAACTTGGTAGTGAAACCAATTCTTCAAAACAATTGACATTGGGCCATACATACTTGTTGAGAATTTCACCTTCAAAGCACGTTAGTTTAACACAGAGTTTTGGTTTATCCTTTACTCAAGGTGACCAGATAAGGGAGGTGAACCGCTACTGGGAGTGGTTTGATTGTAACAACGTATCTTTTATGTTTGTCTAACGTCACTTACACTATCTTTAAAGAGATTTACATGTGTACTACAAGGTGAAACTTTAATAGGTAAAATATTGTTTTAACTACAAACATGCCAGTATTTTTATAGACAGCCTGCATGAGTCACCTCTCTACCGTTTACACGGACTTTGTATGGAGATAAGGAAACATGTAGGTTATGTAACTTTGATTCTTATATTTTTTTTTCTACACATGGTTTAATTTTGTTATTCAATTTATCTTTTTTTTGTAACATACGTTTTGATGAATTAAATTGTATAAAGTTTTTTACTAAACATCTTAATAATAACTAAAGCCCAATATTATTTTTGGAGGAAGTTCCCTGTCTCAATCACTCCAATACCAGGTATTGTAAGGGGTTTGTTCACAAGCCTTGTTTTAAGAATACTTTTTTTTTGTGTAGCCGATTGCGCACTTATTTTCTTTTTATGGCTTCTCCCCCTTTTATTCCGATCCATCAAAATTTTTGGATCCTACTGTTCTTCCTTGTCGTTCTGAATAAATTATGTTAGAAGTGTTTCTTTGGGAACCAACTATGCTCCTTTTCTTTCCGGCTTGTTAATTGCATTATTTGTATTAGGCAGACTTTCACACATGCAAGGGGCTTCTAAAAAAAGAATTAACATGAAGATGATGGCATTATTCTTTAACTTCACGTTCCGCTATATAGATGATGTCCTCTCACTGAATAGTTCATAGTTTGGTGACAATGTTGATCGTATCTATGACCTTGATGTAAAGGATACTTCATATACAGTTAAGCCTGCTTTATATCTTGACTTGCATCAAGAACTCTACAGTGAGGATCGATGAGAACTAAAGAGACGATATCAATGTTTCCTCATTATTCTTTATTTAATTCAGTTTAATTCATATTATCATCATCCTCGATTGAAGTTTCAACTTTATAATGAATAATACACAAAAGGAATTACTGGTATCACCAAAAATATTGTACTGTACAAGAGACCATACCAATCTCATGAATCTTTAATAAAGTCGTTTGTCCAAAACCCAATTATAACTTAGGTAGATTAAAAGTATTTTTTAAACTGTAAACTGTGATTTCACCCATTATTAACCACGCCATTTTCCAAAAGAGTATGAATAACCACAACTTCACATTTTTTCTGTCTTATCAAAATGAGTAAACTGTGTAATGCAAATTTTGATACCATTGCTAATAATGTTTTATTTTTTTTCAGATATTCACCATGTAGATGTGGCTATGAATTTACTGGTCAGAATTCTTTCCTGTATTACAATGGTATTAACGGCTCCTATTTTGAAATGTAAGTTGTTACATGTATACACAAATTAATACACTTTTAATTCTAAGTTAATCCTTTAATCTTTGTTGTTTACAAACCTTTATATATTTTCTCGGTCATGTCACTGACAAGTTTGAAGAGTGTTAGGCCTATATGAAGGTTTAACATCTAATGACGCATATTACAAGTATAATATTTAATATTAGAAAATTATTATGATAGTTCCAAACACACTCTAAATCAGTGTGATTTCCGAAGTAAGCAAAACATTGACTTTTATACAAGAATAGTGATTTATCTGTTATTCTCCCACTTGTGAAATTTTGAGAAACATGGGAAATGAGAAAAAGAATAATATGGATGATAAAGTGAAATGTTGCATCAAACTTGTTTTCACAAGCAAAAAAAAAAACAGCAAAGTTAACACAAACAAACGAACAAAGGAAAAAAAGAAAAAGTAGAACAATTTTTGCTTTAAAAGGCCTTGTGGTTTTAAACTGATCTTGTTTTGTTATAAGGCATTGGAAAGTAGAATTGAAAATTCAAAGAACCAATAGCTTATCCATGTCTATATTCTTTGACATAAAGTATTCATTATATCTATTTCAGACGAAATAACAAAGCGTTGTAGCAGTATAAAATGTGAAAACGACAGTTATTGCATGGAAGAAACCTTTGTGTTGAATGGTGTGGATTTACTGGAAACGGAAGCTAGATGTATATGTCATGGTTATTTTACCGGGCCACGATGTGAGGCAAAAATCATTCTTACTCCAGATGTGATAAAAGCACATTACATAGGATTTAAAGTTTCATTTCATAACGTTTCTAGTGGAGAAGTTATATCAAGTGATACTTTTAAAGACAGTTTATCATATTCTATTCAGTATTGGAAAAACGCATCAGAACGGTCATGCTCGATTGCTACAAATATTTACTCTCCTGTCGATGGATTAGATGGTTTACAAATGGATACATCTTTCACCTTGTGTGCCGTAACTGACCCGGCTGGTTGGTGCGTGCCAAGAGAGGTGAATTTAACACATGACAAGAACTGTCTGGTTATCAAAACTTTGAATACTGAGTATTCTTTTTGGTCGCAATCATTTGTACTTCCGGTTGCTATATCTGTGATTGTTGTTTTATGTTTATTAATATTTATAATACTTTGTATGTTAAAAAGAACGTTCATGCCATCAGACAATCATCAAAAATCAAGGCAATCGCAAAAGGACTGGGCAAAGAAAAGACGGAAAGAAAAGCAGCGCGAACAATCAAAAGAAGTACATCTAGTTAAAGAATCATCGTTAGACGATCTTCTGATTGACAGTTACCCGAGTCCGGACGATTCGTCGATCGATCGGAGAACAACTAGGAAAGCGGGAACTACAACATTTGCACCTATTCTCAATCAAAGCAGTTTACCAAACGTAATGGAAGAACAGAACACAGAGGATGTCTTAAATCAAAACGAGTCTAGTCATATGTTACATCATACTAACGGAAGTGTCTCAGAAGCATAATCATTTTAATTTATCAGTATTTAATGTTGATTTGTTTTATTTTTTAACTATTGAAAGTTTTACAAAAGATTTAACAGTTTCTAAAATATCAGATTAATGAATAAAAAATCATTTGCATTCTGGAAAATCAGATTATTTCCCTGTAATATCTGCAGAAGACTGCTGTCGTCAAATTCACAGAGAATCCTGGCTATATGATAGAGGGTTGGCTTCCTTTTTTTATTTTGCTTTTTTAAGTCACATGTTTTGATCTCTGGTTGTGAGTTTAGTTTTAAAATATTTAAGGGAAACCTTCCCTAATGGTCAACTCAAAAAAGGAATTGATTGGAACGTAAAACAATTTGGTAAGCATTAGTCTACCGAAGTCACTTCTAGTCTCATGAGTCCAGGTAAAGACAGTCAGAAAGGTATTTAAGTGACTACAGATGGGATAAGCAGGGTAATCATCTCACAATATTCAGTCTTAAACTCATGTAAGGGCAATAGTGTGTATCAGGACCTGGAACTCGACGAAAATGGTACTGATCTCAGTAAATATTGTAATTATTTTCATCAGAATATTATAAAAGTTGAATATTCATGCGTTAGGTTCTGAATCATTTAAGCTCTAACAATAGAACCCTTCGGCAACTACAATGAAGGTTTGTTTTATTTCAATACAGAAATCCATTAAATATGTTGTTTTAATCCAAAGTTAGAACCTAATGTCTAACTAATTTGTACATTGTGTTGTGCTGTTATACCACTGTCCCAGATTAGGGGAACGGTTGAACACTCACAAACATGATTAACCCCGCCATATTTAATATGTGCATGTCCAAAGTCAGTAATTTAGTAGTTGTCGTTGGTTGCTGTCTGTCATTTTGTTTTAGTCTTGATTTTCATTTAAATCCGGTAATGGGTTTATTTTTCGTTTGAATTGTTTCACATTTTTGTAAAGTATGGGTTTAAAGGGCGTACGGTGAAACATTTGTTTAAGTCCGCGTCATTTGGACTCTGGTAGATAGTTGTCTCAATGGCAATCATACCCCATCTTCTTATTTCTATATTTAGAATGGTGAAATTGGACAAACACGGTTTATGACATAGTAATAATATATCTTTACAGCATCCGATCTAATGCACAATGACAATCGCAAATATTGAAAATTCTTCCGCATAAACTTAGAAGAAGTTGTTTCACATTTGTTTCGTTGAATTATTGCACCTTTTAAGGCCATTTACAGCTTAACATACGTGTTCTTATGGTGTTCACTCTATTTGATTGTCTTCTAAACTCTTAAATGATAGTGTTCGGAAGTACCAAAGACACATATAAGGACACTTATATCCTATGCGTATCTATTAGAGTGAGGAAAAATTTAGTTCTTTATCTTTGTTTGAAATTCCAAATTTGCGACTTATGATTGTTTATGATTTTCTCTTAAGAAACTTTCGTTGGTGTATTAGTATAAGTTTGGTTTCAAATTGAATTCCAACACCTAATTCCCTTTAAGTTATCAAACAGTTTATACAATATGATTTACAGGGTTTTTAGGCTTTTATGTCGTCAATATTGAGATCCGACAAGAGGTTTTTGTTGTTGAACAGGTGAGTTGCAATAAGTGCGATATAAAAGATATTCAAAAAGTCTGATTTATTTTTTATAGATTTGACTGATTTATAATGAAGGATGTCATCAAAACTTTTGACGGCAATGAAATTTTTTAAAGCGTAGTGTTTCTCTGTGGTATATTTTGCAATGCCAACAGATTAGAAAAGTCTGCGATTGACAATATCCGAGATGATATAGAGTTTCTGTTGTTTTAAATGGGGATTTCTTAGAGGTGTTTCCAAAGCATTACTGTTTTTATTACTATTTTATGGTTAAATAATGTCTGTCAATACTGTTTTCGCTTTTACAACAACCTTCGAGGTTAAAGGAAACTTACACCAGTAACAATCATACCAAATTTCATTGCAATTCCCCACGAAAATAACATTTTATTCTTGGTCTTAAAGACATAGTTAACCCATATTGTAGGTGTAGACTTATTGTTGATAATTCCACCATTTCTTGACACGATGTAATATATTTTCAATATTGGTCAGATATAATTGATTTGAAAAAAATCCAAGTTCTTCGTAATTTATGTTAACCTTATCATTGGTGCTCCTGTTTTACTGTTCATTCTCTTTATTATGGATATAAATCAGTACCATGGCAGTAAGTTTTTTAGCTGTTCAACTGATTGCTTCGATTTTATAGCTTCAGAAAATCAATATTGCACCTGGTAAAACCAAGATACGGACAGGCTCTTACGGAATTATTTAGATAATGTCTGGGAATAATAAACATTCCCAGATAACGTTTTATTAATTATTTATATCAGGGATATGTATTCTTGTAACTGTTTTTATAAAATATAATTTTATTTAATGCCTTCGACGGTGAATTTTAAAGGATTCGACAAAAATATGAAATAGAGGATGAAATTTTGAATTGAAGAAACTGGCTTTCTAATTATAATCTTGGACATTACATTTTTAAAGGTGCAAGGCATACGACTGAAGTCAAATTTGGTATAACTATTTATCGCAGGGTATAACTTTTTATTGGCATCTTTACATTTTGCTAAAATTTCAAATTATTTACACCCAATGGTGACTGGGGTATAGAAATATGGTCACGTTTGGCCTTCTTTCGACCGACAGTACAACCCTTGTCAAAGTGGGGTCCATTTGATTGTGCGGGATGTATAATTCTATCATAGCCTCGTCCTGTCAGACGGTGACGTTAAATCCGATGCCTCTAAGAGAGGGAATTCACGCTCCCTACGCGTTTAAAAACCCTAGCTTGCAACGCCTCTTTGCGGATCCGTAGATGGCCAGTTGCAAGGCTATCCAATATACTCTCATTTCAAGTTGCAGTCCAAACTTCCTGTCCATCATCCCGTTCGGCCAACCTTGCAGAACCTATTGTATTTATTGTTAACTTGTTCTCGTTCTGAACATGCAGGAAATATGTGCCACTGGATGTAGAGCAAACAACTATCAATCAATTAATCAAATTGTTTAGTTCAACAAGACCAGTGTGGCAAAAAGCTGAAACTTCGATATATATTCCGCCTTTCTACGAGCATATATACTTTCTTTAGTAAATAATAAGAATTTGTCAAACTAAAACACGTTGTGTGTATAACTGTTTTTGGTAAGTTAATCACCTGAAGCAGAATTCGTGCAAAACCTTTTCAAAGACAAAAAGAGAAAAAACATCGAAAAAAGTCCTTTAATTTCACTTTCAGGTATAACAATTATAGATGATAGATGATATAAATTCCTAACATTTCAGTGAATTCTTGCATCTTAGTGAACTTGAGATTAAGAATACAGAAACTATAATGTCTGCTTCATATCTTGATCTTTTCCTCAATATTGACCTAGATGGAGACTTCAAAGTTGAATCTATGACAAACGTGATGATTTCAACTTTCAAATTGTCAACTTTCCGTTTCTCAGCAGTAACATAAACTCAATCATATGACGTTTACATATCTCTTTTCATAAGTCACGTTCGTGCATTTTAAGTAAATAAGTTAAAATGGCGAATTCTTTATTTCGTCCTTTTGAATAAGAAATTGAATTTGTTCTCTTCCTGAACATGCATGAATTATTTGACACTGGACGTTAAGCAAACATCAATCGATCAATCAATCATTAAATAAAAACGAATACTGATCACTGTTAAATCACTTATAAAGGAAGAACACATTGAGTTATAAAGGTTTTATTTTCATTTCTATAGATTTTAATGAGTATTTATATCCTTTCCAGTGGTACCAATTAACACCTACAGCTAAGGCTTCGTGTTCACCTTTCAGGTATTCTCCATTCGGATTGGCATAATGACAGTTATTGTACCAGAATCCACCTTTAAATGACTTTGCACAGGATCCTGGAGCTCCATCATTGTCGACATCATGAGTAGAAAATGTCATCCCGTTGTGAACCTGCATAGAATTACCTAAATTGGAAAAAAAAGTACAAAAAATTTACAACATCGAACTATCACAATTTGCAATCTACAATTACCTACAAATTATAATAATTACCTAAGTTTTTAACAAAAACCGTAAGGTACAAATACGTAACTGCTTACAATAGACATTCTAAGATAACATACACTTTGCAATAAATAGAATTTCCTATTATATAATAGAAGGCACATAGAGGTTGCTTGATAAGGAAAACAACAATAACAATACGATCAATACAAATGCGAAATAAATGAAAAGGACAAAGTCGTTTTGTCATGTATATTGTACTTGAATTATGTAATAATTGATAGTTATTGCAAAAATATAAAGGAAATTTGCCCGAAGCAGTATATGATGTTGCACGAGCTTTCGAGTTGTTGGACTAATATTATAGTGTTACTAGCTTGCTGATTCTGTATTGGCCCATGTATTCATTCATTGTCTGCTGTATTGGTCCAGAGGGCCGTAGGGCCGAGGGTCAATGCAACTGACCGAGAATCAATACAGGGCCAATACAGAATCAGCAAGTTCGTAACCTTTTATAAAATAATAAAAACAGTACATATGGCTGGTCCGTATGGCCAGTCCGTATGACAGGAAGTATATAGCTACAGCTGGTCCGTATTGCCAGTCCGTAAGACAAGAAGCAGATACAGCTGGTCCGTATGACCAGTCCGTATGAGGAAGTTATTAACCGGCCCAAACAGCCGTATTAAACGTATCGTCAATATGAGTTGATCTTTTAAATTCCATATTAGTCATGCCGATTTTAGCATATTACGGTCAATTTAAACATATCATTTAATAATGATCAATATTGTCCCGAGCTGTATCTCATATTGCACGAGCTTGCGAGTTAGTAGCACTTCTAGAATATCATCACCATAGACTAAGCAGCATTCTCAGAAAAACAAATTATCATAAACTTGTTAGCATTTCAAGACTTGCCACCAAGGATGCTTTCCCTCAAAGACTTAAGAGGCATTACGAAAAACTCAACACAAACTTTGCGAGCATTTCAAAAATACCCAAATAACTACCCCCTTAGACGTATCAGCATTTCATAAAAATTAATCACAGCTTTGCCAGCGTTTCTGCAATTCTAACAGTCAAAGACTTGGCGGCATTTCCAGATTTCCTTAAGCTGAAAATCAGGAACCGGCAATTCGTCTTTTTGTAGTGGAGGGTTAGAAACATTTTTTAAAGAATAGTTCGATACTACAGTTGAAAGAATTGTTTCAGTGGGAAGTGGAAAACAACAGCTTAACAAAATAAAAAACATTTACTTAAAAAAATCATGTCCTTGTATGATATTGAAAAAAATCCCGACACACATGCACAAACAAGATGAAAGGTCGGTGTTGAAAGAATACCCACAAGCAAACACTTGGCAGCATTTCACGCATTCCCACTTTCATGGACTTACCAGCATCCCCTGAGTACCCAGCAACAGTCAGGGGGTAATTACTGGAGATATCACCAACTCGAAAAATTTTGTATTTGGCGTATTTACTTTCTCCCTCAAAATCAGACATGTCTACACGTAGCTGGTACCATCCTTGATTTGTTATGATATTAAGTAATATATTTCCTGAAATGATAGTTTATTAAAGAAATGAATAATTGATAACGTGTGAGGATAGTGCAGTTTAACAATTTGTTTGTTATTACTATAAAGTAGATTTGATACTAACGGCATTTTCTAACGACTGGATTTTTTTGCTAAACAGCTGAAGATCATTAGGGATAACTTATACATAACCTCGTCCTTAAGGACCATGTGGGCTTATTAAATCACTTGTTGTCCGCCTCCCGATGAGAAAAATTCAAAATATTCTCTTCTGAAACCACGGGGCCAAATGTTTAGACACTTGGCAATAATGCTCAATGGCATGACTTCTAAAACGATCCCCATTTTGTTCCGATCGGAAGAAGCACATAGCCGCCTTAGGAAAACATCGAGAAAAGGTGTAAAACCTGCAGTTTTTGGGAGCATATATCGCAAAAACTAAAGCAGAAACAGCAAAAACTGAAAAGTTATCAGAGGGTCGAAATCTTCAGAAAATCAGATGATCTATTTTTGAGCTGTTACCCTTGAAATGTATATTTTTGACAAATTTCTCAGTTTTTTGCTATTATCGTGAAAAATTGTTCTAGATAGAAAAACTTTTGATAGCAAAAAATTACCAATAAATAACTCAACTCTTTTAAGAGTGATTGTCCTTTAATTATTATTTTCACCATTTGTGTGGATTCTATGATATTTTTTTTTCAATTTTGGGGCGTTTTTACTATTTTCTTGAGAACTTTGATTGATATAGAGAAATTTTTAGCATCTTAAATGACCAACAAGATCAGATCTACAAATAGGTGAACAAAACTGAGTGGATCTGGATCAAACCTGTTTACAGTACCACTTAGTATGTAAAAGATTTTTAACAGAATTGCTAATGTTTTTAATGCTGCTTATTTTACCAGGTGAGCTCCTAGGAGCCTCTAGTTTTAGATAATTCCGCAAAGGCATGGGCAGCCATTCGGGCGATATTGAACAAAATTTAAAAACCAGACGTTCAAACCCAAATCAGACTGCATAAAACGAAAACAGAGTGAGACATAAAAAATGTACAAACAGACGTTAACAAAATTTAAAATAAAATGCTCCGCAGGGCGCAGCTTGATACGACCGCAGAGGTCGAACTATGAATAGTTGGGGCAAGTATGGACACAACATTCAAGCTTGATACAGCTCTGAATTTGGATTGTGATTAAATATTTGACACAGCATAGGTTTCTGACACAGAATGAATGTGGTCTAAGAACTTAAAAATTTTAAATTGGACATTCACCTATTATGGTCCAATATCCAAAATCTAAATACATGGTTAGATTCAGCATATCAAAGAACCCCAAGAATTCAATTTTTGATGAAATCAAACAAAGTTTAATTTTGGACCCTTTTGACCTCAATGTGGACGAAGTTGATAACGGGGCCCAAAAATCTAAATACATGGTTAGATTCAGCATATCAAAGAACCCCATATATTCAATTTTTGTTGAAATCAAACAATGTTTAATTTTGGACCCCGATTTGGACCAACTTGAAAACTGGGCCCATAATAAAAAATCTAAATACATGTTTAGATTCAGCATATCAAAGAACCCTAAGAATTCAATTTTTGTTAAAATCAAACTTAGTTTAATTTTGGACCCTTTGGACCTTAATGTAGACCAATTTGAAAACGGAACCAAAAAATTAAGAATCTAAATACACGGTTAGATTCGGCATATCAAAGAACCCCAATAATTCAATTTTTGATGAAATCAAACAAAGTTTAATTTTGGACCCTTTGGACCTCAATGTGGACCAATTTAAAAACGGGGCCCAAAATCCAAAAACTGAATACACGGTTAGATTCAGCATATTAAAGAACCCCAAGAATTCAAGAATAAAACCCCATTGAAATTGGTCAAGAAATAAGCAATTTATACGAAGTATCTTCTTTTGCACAATACTGTGCAATTGAATATTTCTTGCTATTGCGCAATACTGCACAATTGACAATTTCTTGCTATTGCGCAATATTGTGCTATTGGATATTTCTTGCTATTGCGCAATACTGTGCAATTGAAAATTTCTTGCTATTGCCCAATACTTATTATATAATAATTTACACATCCTGTTTGGTGTGTATCTCCTACCATATCATTATTATTTGCTTTTGAAAATAAATCAGAAATAACCAACTTAAAATGGAAAATTTTAAAAGAAAAAAAAAGGAAAAAAAGAAAAAAAAGGAAAAAAAAAATCCCCCCCAAATTTTTTCAACCCCCTTATGATTCATCACCCCAAAACTCAATCCCAGCCTTCCCTTTGTGGTATGGTACCTTGCAGTACAATTTCAGAGAGATCCATACACTTGAACACAAGTTATTGTCTGGAAACTAGAAAAATGTGTTTTTTGGCCCCTTTTTAGCCCCCAATTCCTAAACGTTTCGGGCAATTACCCCCAAACTCAATTCCAGCTTTCCCTTTGTGATATGGAACCTTGTAGTACAATTTCAGAAATATCCAAACACTTACACACAAGTTATTGTCATGAAACTAGAAAAACGCTTGTTTTTTGCCCCTCTTTTGGCCCCTTATTCCCTAAAATTTTGAGGCAATTACCCCCAAAATCAATCCCAGCATTCCCTGTGTGATATGGAACCTTGTGGTACAATTTCAGAGAGATCCATACACTTGAACACAAGTTATTGTCTGGAAACTAGAAAAATGCTTATTTTTTGCCCCTTTTTGGCCCCTTATTCCTAAACGTTTCGGGCAATAACCCCCAAACTCAATTCCAGCTTTCCCTTTGTGATATGTAACCTTGTAGTACAATTTCAGAAAGATCCATACACTTTCACACAAGTTATTGTCATGAAACTAGAAAAATGCTTGTTTTTTGCCCCTTTTTTGGCCCCTAATTCCTAATATTTTGAGGCAATTACCCCCAAAATCAATCCCAGCGTTCCCTTTGTGATATGGAATCTTGTGGTACAATGTCAGAGAGATCCATACACTAACACACAAGTTATGTCTGGAAGTTACAAAAATGCTTATTTTTGGCCCCTTTTTGGCCCCTAATTCCTTAACTGTTGGTACCATAACCCCCAAAATCAATCCCAACCTTCCTTTTGTGGTATTGAACCTTATGGTAAAATTTCATAGAGATCCATTCACTTAAACTAAAGTTAGAGTACGAAAACCAATGTGTCTTCGGACGACGCCGGACGACGCCGGACGACGACGACAACGACGACGACGACGACGCCAACGTCATACCAATATACGACCGCAAAAATTTTTGCGGTCGTATAAAAAACAAAGGTAAAAAACAAAACCAGACGTCAAGAACGAACACAGACATAAAATTTAAAAAGACAGACCTTAAAACAAGAAAAAAAACAGATATCAAAAACGAAAACAGACATAAAATTAAATAGCAGACGTTAAAATTTTGTTCAATTTTGCCCGAATGGCTGCCCATACACAGGGCAATCAAATATCATAAATGGGAAAAGGACAAACAACGCCATTGAAAAAAGACAGAACAATAGATTACAAAACAATACACAAAAAACTTAAAAGATTTCACAAGAAATTCCCCATAAAAACGGCGATGAACCCAGATATTCCGCGAGGGAGTTGTACAGCAGTCAACATTGTGTTATAATCTTCATCCTATAAAACAAACAAATATGTCAACAAAGAAGAACAAAATGACATAGAGACACTGGTGACGTTTTTTAAAACTGAGTAGCAGCTGCAAGCTCTTGAATACCGAATGAGTTGGGGAATGTATATCCCATATGCATATAAACTATCGTTACATGTTAATTGTCAATGTGTATTCCTGATATACAATCAAAAGGAAAATACGAACTTTCTTGAACTTAGTATCACCAAAGACATATGTATCTTGTTATCGTGACTTATATAAGCTATAAAAGGAATTACGAATTACCTACCTAACCAAAATTCATTTTTGATATCTCCAAATCCTACTGTATAATTTTCCCAATTCTGATAAAAGTCAGCCTCCCCGTTTAATCTTCTTTGAAAAACCTGTAACAAATAATATTTGTGTATTTTTGGTTTAAACCAACCAGGAATATTAAAATGCGGATGCAAAAAGCACTAAATTTTTTTATGGCCATGATTCATAATATCTCAAATCCGCAAAAAATGACTAATTACAAAATAAATTTTTCGAAGAAAAAATCGTTTGAGTTGTTATCTGGGTTGCCAGTGGGAAAGATATCAAACAGAGACTAAAGGGTGTGGATTTAAAAACTAGAGGCTCTAAAGAGCCTGTGTCGCTCACCTTGGTCTATGTGCATATTAAACAAAGGACATAGATGGATTCATGACAAAATTGTGTTTTGGTGATGGTGATGTGTTTGTAGATCTTACTTTACTGAATATTCTTGCTGCTTTCAATTATCTCTATCTATAATGAACTTGGCCCAGTAGTTACAGTGGAAAATATTTTGTAAAAATTTACAAAAATTTACAAAATTTATGAAAATTGTAAAAAATTGACTATAAAGGGCAATAACTCCTTAAGGGGTCAATTGACAATTTTGGTCATGTTGACTTATTTGTAGATCTTACTTTGCTGTACATTATTGCTGTTTACAGTTTATCTCTATCTATAATAATATTCAAGATAATAACCAAAAGCTGCAAAATTTTCTTAAAATTACCAATTCAGGGGCAGCAACCCAACAACGTGTTGCCTGATTGGTCTGAAAATTTCAGGGCAGATAGAACTTGACCTAATGAACAATTTTATTCTCGTCAGATTTGCTCTAAATGCTTTGGTTTCAGAGATATGAGCCAAAAACTGTATTTTACCCTATGTACTATTTTTTAGCCATGTCGGCCATCTTGGTTCGCGGGCGGGGTCATCGGACACATTTTTTAAACTAGATACCCTAATGATGATTGTGGACAAGTTTGGTTAAATTTGTCTTAATAGTTTCAGAGGAGAAGATTTTTGTAAAAGATTACAAAAATTTACGAAAAATGGTTAAAAATTGACTATAAAGGGCAATAACTCCTTGGTCATGTTGACTTATTTGTAGATCTTACTTTGCTGAACATTATTGCTGTTTACAGTTTATCTCTATCTATAATAATATTCAAGATAATAACCAAAAACGGCAAAATTTCCTTTAAATTACCAATTCAGGGGCAGCAACCCAACAACGAATTGTCCGATTCATCTGAAAATTTCATGGCAGATAGATCTTTACCTGATAAACAATTTTATCCACGTCAGATTTGCTCTAAATGCTTTGGTTTCAGAGATATAAGCCAAAATCTACATTTTACCCCTATGTTCTATTTTTAGCCATGGCGGCCATCTTGGTTGGTTGACCGGATCACCGGACACATTTTTTTAAACTAGATACCCCAATGATGATTGTGACCAAGTTTGGTTAAATTTGACGCAGTAGTTTCAGAGGAGAAGATTTTTGTAAAAGTTAACAGACGACGACGGACGACTGACGCAAAGTGATGAGAAAAGCTCACTTGGCCCTTCGGGCCAGGTGAGCTAAAAATACAGGTCACCGTAGAGCCTTCAACCGTGAGGAAAACCCATGTCGTATAGTAATCTATAAAAGGTCCCGGCATGACAATGCCAAAACAATTCAAAAGAGAAAACCAATGCCCTGATTTGTGCTAAAACATTAAACGAAAAAAACATGCATGTCACACGGCAACCAAAGATAACCGCTGGAAAACTACTGACAGCCACAAAAGGAGGGTTTTTGAGGGCGCAACCCTCCCATAACTTGTGATATTGGCGTAACAATACAAAATAAAATCATACTACACTAATTAGTTCTAAAAGACTTCAGTCATCAGATTGGCACTAATATCCCGTTTGTAAAAAGGTTTCTACATGTAGAACCAAACTTTCAAACTATATAGATATTTGTATCTAAAAAGAATTAAGTTTCAAATAATTTGTTGTACCGAAATCCTTGGCTGTGGTCGTTTTGGGTATTTTTCATTTTTAGTATTTTTTACTCAAACCCACATTGTCTGTTAAAGCTGTTGTACTTTGAAAAAGTACTGCAACTAGTTAAAGATTATCGACCAAAGTAAAGAACAGTTTTACAGATTTTCTATAAAAGCATGCGAAGCAAACCTTTGATCGACTTGCTTGCTATGTTTGCTTGGATGTTTGTAAACAAAAGGGTAGGCGGAGTTTCAGTCTGTTTAATATATACTGGTATTTGATTGGACAATAAAAATTGACATACAATGTGAAACCTAACATTTAAATGAAGTTAATGTTTATTGTCCAATCAAATTCCAGTATATAGTAAACAGACTGAAATAGGCTACCTACCTGTTGTTTACAAACATCCAAACAAATATAGCAAGCAAGTTGATCAAAGGTTTGCTTTGCATGCTTTTATAGAAAAGCTGTAATGCATTTTTTAGCTGAAGGTAATTTTCGAATCAAAGGACGATGATAACACACAATAAGTATTGTTAATAGCAAGACCGATATTGTTTACTGGCTTCAAATTTAAGAAAATGTCGACGATGTGGGAAAGAAATAAAAAATTCGTAAGGGTTCCGCGGAACCCAGTGTCTCGCCTACTTTTGCTGTTAGTCGCAGGCTCAACAAAAATGGGGAAAATATTTAAAATTTTCCTCTAGATACTATCTTTTGATTGTAAGAAGTTCTGTTCAAGTTTGGTAAAAATCCAAGAAGGTTTATGAATCTAATAAATGTTTTAAAAACTTTAACTGCAGACTGTACGTAATGTTAACTGGAATAAAACTAAGTCCATTTATAAGTAATATACGGAAAAACAGGAAATAAATTTTTACAAAATTTCCTTCTAGATACTAGCTTTTGATCATAAACAAGCTTCTGTCCAAGTTTGGTATAAATCCAGGATAGTTTAGGAAAGTTATTAAAATTTTGAAAGCTTTAACCACAGAGTGAAATTAATGTTAACTGGCAGAAAAACTAAGTCCATTTATAAGTAAAATACAGATAAACAGGATTTTTTTTTAACAAAATTTACTTTTGAGTGCTATCTTATAATCACAAACAAGCTTCTATCCAAGTGTGGTACAAATCCAGGATAGTTTAAGAAAGTTATTAAAATTTGAAAAATTTTAATCACAGAGTGAATGTAATGTTAACTGGCAGAAAAACTAAGTCCATATATGAGTAAAATACGGATAAACAGGATTTTATTTTTACAAAATTTTCTTCTGGATACTATCTTATGATTATAAACAAGCTTCTATCCAAGTTTGGTACAAATCTAGGATAGTTTAAGAAAGTTATTAAAGTTTGAAAAACTTTAACCACAAACTTTAACCACAGAGTGAATGTAATGTTAACTGGCAGAAAAACTAAGTCCATTTATGAGTAAAATACGGATAAACAGAATTTTTTTTTTACAAAATTTACTTCTGGATACTATCTTATGATCATAAACAAGCTTCTGTCCAAGTTTTGTTGAAATGCAGGATAGTTTAAGAAAGTTATCAGATTTTTGTGGACGCCGCCGCCGACGCCGACGCCGACGGAATGTAGGATCGCTATGTCTCGCTTTTGCGACAAAAGTCGCAGGCTCGACAAAAAGAATTTGATCTAACAACTCAATGTCCAAAATTAGAACATTGCTGGAAATGACTATTTTGTTGAGTAAAAGGATTTATTCTTATTTTCAGATGAAGACAAACTTTAAAATAATGCGATCGCCGGTGTGATTCCCAATGAGACCAATATCATCACAAGACCAAATGGACAAGGATGTAAATTGTATTTATAATTTTTTATTCATTTCTTCCTCCATTTTTATATTAACTTTTCTTATTATAGTTCAGCACAATGACTGTAAGAATATGACTGATTTGTATTTTAAAAAATGTAATGAAGTAGAAAATATGCCGTTCAAAATTTCTATCCTGTATCTCTTTATCTGTTACCAAGAATAGCCGCATCAAAGATATTTCACCATATTTTTAGGCTGATGATTCCTACGGTGACGAAATGCCACCAGCAGTAGTATCATTCCAGAGAATTTAAAAAGTTATCAAAGATTTCAGGATTTCGACATAGTACGCCAAACTGACGCGCGTTTCGACTACACAAAACTTGTAATGCTTGTTTCTTCACTGTCAAAAATTCTTGTATTCGATTTAAAAATACATGGGGTTATCATTCTTGATTTACCACAGTTTGTGGGCTTACGATTAGATTAGACTGAGAATTGAGTCTGTTTCGTTTCTTTTCTGATTGACGAAATAAACATTGAATATGATGTACTTGAAAACTTATGTATCTACAAATTATTAAATGCAAAAATACTTTTGAAAATTTCTAATGATCTATTCCGAATGTCCGTTAGTATTTAAGTTTTTCCTCATTGACTGTTATACCATATTATCTCTGACTTATTATTTGCATTTAAAACTAATTTCTATAGTAACAAAAGTTTAATTTTCGTTTTGGCTATTTAGCAATATACTTACCAACCAACCGCCATCATCATTTTCCATATCACAGAACACATCTACACCTCCTTTAATTCCTTCCGGATAAATTTTGTATACGCTCGAAACCTCTTCGCCCATCATCTGAATATCAAAACAATCTCGAGGTAACACTTCGCCAACTGTTAAATTAAAGAAAACTAATTCAAATCTACAGAAATTCAAATAGAGTACATTTCTTAATTTTGTTTTATTCAAGGAGATGTACATATGTGGACCACTCTTCAAATCAACTTATTTATAATCTTCTTTGTATTGTCGTATCTTTTTTTGTTTTATTTGTGTTGCTAGGTTGCTGTCTAAAGGACACATACCGAATATCACCGTTTAGTCATATATGGTCTATAAAAAAGTATTACTAATCAAATGTCATTATTATGAACTTTGACACTTTCTTTTGAATATGGAGAGTGTGACTGAATCAAATGATAACATTATAAATTGAATGTGTTCTTTACCAAGTGACTTACCTGGACGTGACTGTTGCTGTGTTTGTTGGTGTTTGCTACTCAATTCCAGATTTTGTAATGTCTGAACAAGATTTGTTATTTCCACTCCTAGTTTGTGAGTCTGAAACCAAACCCCTGCAGTTATTGCAGCAGAAGCTACAATAACCACCAACAGAACAGAGTTGTTTGATTGCGGCATGTCCGTGGGTACCTTTTTACTCTCACCGGTCATGTCGTTACCCTGCCCGACATGTATTTTGTGTTCTTTTTCCTTTTTACCTTCCTCCATGCATAATGTATATAAACGTGTATTTTCTATAGAATTCACCTATTATGAAAAGCCACAAGGGTGTTTAAATCTCTGAATGAACTTGTTCGATAATTTGCCAATGTATAAAGGCGTGTTCGTCAAGGTTGATGTGAAAGTAAATTTCAGTTTTATTTAATTTTATTTATTCATTTCTATTTTTTTTAACGAAAATTTAAATTTAAAAACACACTTTTAGTATTAAAAAAGAATTAAAGGTTATATGAAATTGCATTGCTTCTATCGAAATAAGATCAAATTCAGAATAATGAATTACTAATTGTTTATGATTGTTAAGGTACTAGTAAAATGTTTTCAATTAAGGCTAAAAAAAAAGAAGAATTATGACAGTTGTATTTGCTATTAAAATTTTAAAATTTTCTTATTCAACAATTATGAAATTCCGCTGGGACTTTTTATTCGGTGCTGTTGCTACATACTATTATTGCATGTTTACTTTGGGAGTTATATGCAAAGTGGGTTGGTTGGGATGAAGGGCTAGCATTTTGGACTGCGGCATGGAGAAGAGGGTATGTTTATGCAACAACAATGTTCTTCTTTGAAGTATTAAAAGTTTTGAGTATTGCAATACCATTACAAAGCAGGAGTGTCGACATGAAATATCATTGATGCGGTAATTTTCTGTAAAATCACTGTTCATAAAACGTTACAACATTCGCACATAATACTTAGCCAGATTTTTTTTTCTCAATTTGGACTTCCAATAAATGTGTTTTGATTGGGCTTATGGTAAGTCGCTGGCGACCTATACTATTGGCGCATTGGTGCCTACTACCTGTGATATCTTTTTGGGGAGACCAAAACCATTGAATTTTTAAAGTTGATTGCTCCTTTGGTTTCCTCGAACATTTCTAATATCATCATATCAATCGCAATATGAATGGACTACACATGTCTGATACTTGTTAAATTGGGAACATGTTATAGACCACCATGTAATAATTCAGATACTCAAATCTTTGGTTCATTGAAAGATAAACTGTTCTTTGCTTCACTTGCAGTGGAAAATATTTCATGTTTATTCGTGACAAAAACCAATTAAACTAAAAGCATATTGTAGGTTCAAAGAATTTAGTGGAAAGTTCGGACTGATATTTGAAAATGGTGGAATGTTTGATAAGCTGAAAATCACAGTGCTTGTGAGCACAGAGGATAAAGAATCGAGTATTTCTCTTAGACTGTAATTGTAGATAGAATAGCTAGATTTATACATTATGCAGTCCTTTCTGATTGATTGATTGATTGATTGATTGGTGTTTAACGCCACTTTCAGCTATTTTGTGGCAGTTAACTGACAATCTTAGTCAATTTTAAGATTGGAGTCGAATGCACCTGTCACGTGCGGGGCTCGAACTCATAAACTCAGTGTTGACTGGCTATTACTATATATAGTAGTACAGTAGTTGAACTACTTAGACCACTAGGCTACCATGGCTCCTGTACTTTCTGCAACTTGTGTCATTTTAAGTACAGGAGTGAACATGTTGAAATATCTCGTCTGCTTCACTGATTGTGATTGATTTTATGTTGAAAGTCTTCAAGATAAAGGTTTTACTATAAGAATTACATAAGTAACATTAATAATATCAATGACTCATGTAAATAAGGTAACGGTCAGATGAACCCTGCCATACATAAATATATACCTTACAATCATCCCATGCACCAAAAAATAGTTAAGACTATTGATTATCAAAACAAACCCAAACAAGGAAACTGAACATTGACCAATTAACCATGAAAATGAAGTCAAGGTCAGATGATACCTGCCAAACAGACATGCATACCGTACAATCATTTCATACATCACACATAGTTGATCTTTGGATTATAGTATGAGAGAAACAGACCTAACCAGGAAAACTAAATATTGACCCAAGAAAATAAGGGCACAGTGAGATGACCCCTGCTAGACAGATATGTTCACCTTACTCTCATTCCATTCTTCAAATATAGTTGACTATTGCTTATAGTATCTAAGAAAAGGAATTTGTGTAATTTTATGGTACCTTTACATTGACCAATGAACCATGAACTTGACGTCAAGATCAGATGATACCTGCCTGACGGACATTAAAAACTTATAATCATTCCATACACCAGTATGATTGACCTACTGATTATAGTAACTGAGAATCGGACCTAATCACGTAACTTTAACCTAGACCACTGATCCGCAAAATAAGGTCGAGGTCAGGTGAACCCTGCCTGGCAGACAAGCAGACCTTGCAAGGATCCCATATACCAAATATAATTATCCTTTACTCATAAATGTTCAAGCTGTGGTCACACCTTACCGGATAGCACGAACGGACGACTAACGGATGAAAAAAAAAGTTTTCCGTTGACAAAATTGTTATCCGTTGGAAGTCCGTTGATGTACAGACCAAATAAAACGGACGAGTAACGAATGCATAACGGACACATACAGGATATGCAACGTACGATAAACGGAAACGTACCGGACAAAACGGATGTCGAACGTACATCCAACGGACGAGAACCGCATAAAACGGACACCTAACGGAAGCGGACCGGATAAAACGGATGAACAACATATGCGGAAAAATTAAAGGCGACAATAATAATACATATGTAAATCGCATAAATATTCAAAAAGTTTCCGTGTAGTAGTAACTGGTTTAGGCTTGTTCTTCAAAATGCCGCCAAAGGGTAATGTCTGGCGTGAATAAGAGCTGCCTGATAGTGAAGACATGCTCTTACTCATCAATTATGAATAATAAGCATTCATGACACTCAAGAAATCTAACATACCAATAATTTGCATTTCTGTCCCGAAATTTTCAATTGGCATTTATCCGTTTCAGATCCGTTCATCATCCGTTTTATCCGTTATACGTCCGGTAGATGTCCGTTTCACATCCGTTCAACATCCGGTTTATCCGTTATACGTCCAGTAGAAGTCCGTTGGTGAATTTGTCTACCGGACCTCTAACGGATGAATAACGGATATGTAACGGATACAAAACGGAAACGGAACGGACGAGTACCGTAAAAAACGGACGCCTACCGGATGTACACCGGACACTTCATCCGTTGAACGTCCGTTCAAAGTTTTGAACATGCTCAAAATTTTCCACCGGACAGAAAGGACATCGACGGATAAAACGGATGCTGAACGGACATGAAACGGAAATGAACGGACGTCTAACGGATAAGAACGAACGTCTACCGGATATGAACGGATTGAAAAAAAGTTATCCGTTCGGCGTCCGTTCGCGCTATCCGTTAAGGTGAGACCGGGGCTTGAGAAATTGATATGACAAAAAATCTATACAGTTTTTATAAGCAGTCGCCGCTGAAAATAAGGTTAAACTTCGTAATATAAGGCATCTATAAACAAGGTATGAAGCATCCAGTTCTTCTACCATCTATAAACAAGGTATGAAGCATCTAGTTCTTCTACCATCTATAAACAAGGTATGAAGCATCCAGTTCTTCTACCATCTATAAACAAGGTATGAAGCATCCAGTTCTTCTACCATCTATAAATAAGGTATGAAGCATCCAGTTCTTCTACCATCTATAAATAAGGTATGTAGCATTCAGGCCTTCTACTTTTTGAAATACAAACCTTTATACAAAACCATCATTTTTCCAATGGATAACATCACAGTGAATACTGTTAAAGTGGACACTAACACCGTTGGCACTATAACAGTGGACATAACCACCGTGGACACTATCACAGTGGATACTATTACAGAAGAAACTATCACAGTGGGTATAACATTACAGAGGACACAATTACAGTGGATAATTTTACAGTGGTACAATTGCAAAGGACACCATTACACTGAACACTAAAATGGACATGGTTACATACATTGAATTGTGGAAATTTTACAATAAAAACTCTTACAGTGAACACTATTACAGTGGAAATCATTACAGGGGACACTATTACAGTGGATACCACTATAGTGGACACCACCATTACAGTGGACACTATTACAGTGGACATTATTACAGTGGATACCATTATAGTGGACACTTTAACAGTGGTCATTATTACAGTGGACACTATTACAGTGGATACCATTATAGTGGACATCACCATTACAGTGAACACTAAAACAGTGGACATTATTACAGTGGACACCATTACAATGGAAGACATTATAGTAGAAACTATTACAATGGTCACTATTACAGTTGAAACCATTACAGTGGAAATTATTACTGAGGACACCTCATAGTGAACATTATTACAGTGGACACCATCACAATAGAAACCATTACAGTGGACGTTACATAGGTGGATACCATTACAGTAGAAATTAATACAGTGGACACCTTTACAGTAGAAATTATTATAGAGTTGAAACCATTACAATGGAAACCATTACAGTGGACATTATTACAGTGGACACCATTACAATGGACACTTCAGTTGAAACCATTACAGTGGCCATTATTAAAGTGGACACCATTACAGCGGAAGCCATTACAGTGGACATTATTACAGTAGACACCATTACAGTGGACACTATTAAAGTGGACACCATTACAGTACCATTACAGTGGACATTGTTTACAGTGGACATTATTACAGTAGACACCATTACAGTGGAAACCATTACAGTGGACACTTTTACAGAGGACACCATTACAGTGGACATTATTACAGTGGACACTTTCACAGTGTGGACACTATCACAGTGTGGACACCATTACAGTTTGTGTTGCTCAGTCTTTTCTTCGTTTTTGTTTTTTGCCATGGCATTGTCAGATTGTTTTTCCACTTATAAGTTTGAACTTCCCTTTGGTTTCTTTTGCCTCTCTTAAGTATGTGATATTAAGGAATGACACAATAATTCAATCATTTTGAACCTTAGTGTGTCTGTCTTACAATTGCACATAATTTGCTATTCTTCTACAGGCAAGAATTTGCATATCGCATTTACAAAACTATTTAATTTCATAAAGGAAAACAAAAAGCCTTGTATCTTTTTTGATTGTTTTTTGTGCATGTAATTATATAAATGACAATATGAGCTTACGCTCAACATGTAAAATAAATCACAATTCATAGCTAAAAACAAAAATAAATAACAAGTTTTTCTGCTTGCAATAAACAATAACATAGAAACAAACAAACAAACTAATATATCAGATCATAAAATCCATTTGGTAATTTTGTTAAATTGTTCCAATATTTCAATGTTGCTTTGATCCTACAATCTCTTGTATATAATAATTTCACACCAGACATATAACTAGTATCTATGGAAATTGATAAATTTGTTATGAAATATTGAATAAGTGAATAATATGATGATTAAGGAATGCATGAAGTACATGTAGGATTGTTGTAGTTTTACTGTATTCAAATGTCCTGGCAAACATTATTTTTGACAAAATCAAATTTCTAAATCTTGTATCCTGATATCACAAGATTGAAAATTTGAATCTTGCAAGTATGGCAAGATATATTCAAAACTTTTTTATCCTCCAAAACTAATGAAATTCTTAAATAACTATGTGCTTTACCTTCAAGTATTAAGCTTGTCTAAGTAAGTTCTGTCATAATTTTATTTGAGGACTTTAGTTACTGATAGTCAATATAACATGTTCTAATGTTTTAATCTTTCTTTTTTTGAATTCTATTATTTTATTTCCTTTGCTGTACCCAATAAATGTAAGTTCATTTTTTGCTCAAAGAAATCTGCTAACTTAGCCAGGAAAGACAACTTTTGAACAAAAGCTTATCAGAAAATTAAACTGGATTTCACTGGGAATCAACCAGTTTGTTTCACTATCAAGAAAACAAAACAAATATCCCATTTCTTTTTCCTAAGGATATTTGACTTAAATAAGTATCTTGTCCAAAGCAATTTTCCGTTTCTTTCAACAAATCTAATTTTAATTTTTAACAAAGAAACAAATTACATATAAATAAAATATTACATCTATATCATGTGACTAGAAAACTACTACAGTGGCAAGCAATTAATCATAGTTTATTACACATATATTCCGACAGACCTCTATTGTAAATAGACCAAAAATGGCCACTAGACCCCATTATTTACTTTCAATTATTTGAAAACTGAGTAATGGGTAACTATTCTCACTTAAATCTAAATACATATGTTCAATAATTTTATTTCTTTCTGATTAGGCTCAGAAAATAAACCTTATTTTGAAACATAAGAATTAATATATCACACAAGAATGGCAATTTAAAATTCATATACTGTGTCAAAAATATTTAGGGGACTTATGAGAAATGAGGATCTCAATATTTCTACCTTTGGCCAATAAAAAGATTATGCCCTGGATACCCTGTTTCTTCACATACAGGGATTTAAAATTTATACACTTTGTCAAAAATAATTAACAGACTTTATGAAAAATTATCTCAATATTTCTACATTTGGTTCAAAAAAGAATGTATCTAGCCTTTCCTGGATACCATGTTTCTTTACAATTAAAACTGGGTTGATAATGTTTGACAGTGGACTTCACAAGCCTACCATCAGACACATGCTTTAGTAATGAAAATTTAGACCTCTCTATCAATCAGAGGATTTAAATGGAATTTCTTGTTACATGAAGGTTTTGATTTTCAAACTTAAATAAAATAAATACTAATAAAAATATCACAAAGGAACACAGGTTATAACACTGACAAAAATATAATCAAACTATATCAAACTCAGTAAATTATCAAAGGAAAAAAGAAAAAATTGTAAAATGTTAGTAAAAACCTATAAATAGTCAGCTATTCTGGGTTATAGGAATTCTCAAAACTACTGTGTATTCTTAGTAAGAAAATTTTGTTGTGACAAATAATAATAACAATAATACCTATCCATCTAGCAAGTGGGAAAACAAATAAAACCTTTCTAGTTAGCACTTTTTGAGAAGTTTATCTTACATTCAATGTCAGTGCCTTATGCAGGTACCAAAAAATGGGAACTAACAAAATAGCGTACTGAGATAATTGAAATCGTATTTCAAAGCTGGTACCAAAGACAGGTAACTTACAAAATGAGGAATTGAGATAAATGAAAACTTATTTCAAAGTGCGTTCCAACAAAAGATAGCTATCAAAATAGGGAATTGGTATAAATGAAATTGTCTTTGAAAGAAAAAAAATAAAGTATTAAATATAAACAAAATGGAGAAAAAAAATATTTAAATGAAATAATAATGTTCAAACTTAAGGTGGTACCAAACACCTCGACTAAAATTAATTTGGCTCTTTTAATTTTCATAAAATTTTGACAAAATATTAACTTTGACCCTTTGACAAAAATATAAAAATTTCAAAAAACTTGAACCACACACTTTATCTGAAAAATTTCATTGGATATACATTGTATAGCAGTTTGACAAACACTAATTTTGATCATTGAGAAGCTTAATATTTCCTTAACAATAGAACTTGATTAAAACGTTCAGCCGATTTTTACAGAGTTATCTCCCTGTAGTGTTATGTACCACCTTAAACCAATGACAGATAATTTTCTAGAAAAGGTAAAACATATACCTTTTGACATTTGCACACATAAAGCTAAAATATAAAAATAAAAAAAATAATGTAAAAACTAAAACAAAATATCACATAATAATAATAAAACTTCAATGGATTATTCTAAGTAGGTTTCATGAGGTCAAGAGGTTCTCTAAGAAATTCTTCAAACAAAAAAAAGTTAATCTTTACCAATTAACAACTAAGTATTGAATAAGAACTGTAAAATCAGAAATGTTTGCAATGTTTTTGTTTTTGAAAAAAATTGCAATTCAAGTTTTATTAGGCAGCAACAACATTTTTGTTACCTGTTGCAGTATTACCCGAAATCGCTATAATAAATCTCACATTTTTGTTCATTTTTCAATAATCGTAATAACAAATGCATGCAAAAATTTCTGAATTTACAGTATAACTGAAACAAGTGCTTATGTGTTACCATTCTGCACATATTTGAGAATTTATTTTAAGATTTTGTCTTTCTTATGTCCATCAACAATATTAAAAAGAGTGAACTTTTTAATGTCGATGTACAACTTTTTTGTTTACATTACAAAAACTCCCTGTCAGTATCAGTATTCATACTTTCTATCTTTACACTAGAATTTGATAATAATATATTCTGATAGTCAAGCATCATAAAATCTAATCTAAATATACAATTTAATAAAATGGTGGATTTCTTCAATTGTGAGTATTAAATCTGTTTTAAGAGGTAAACATTCCTCTAAAATTTAATTAAATCTAATGATAAAAAGTTATTGTACTTTTTTTTACTAATGTATTGTATTAAATAAACTTAGGCATGTTTAACCTACTTTACAGTCAAATTGAATTAAGAAATTTTGAGGACAGTGACATATGATCCAGCTAACTTTTACAGTTTTGGGAGTTGCAGTAAAAGAAAATGTAATGTAATATCCAACTTCATAACTCACTAAACAAAAAAACTATATGATTTGACAGTGTAATAAATTCAAAAGACATGGAATGATATTGGAAATGTTATTAAGGTCTACTAATTCTATTATATAAATTGAAAAAGAATATCAAATTTCTTTGACATAGCATTCAACAGTTCTTGATAAGTTGAACAAGTCATAAATCTAAAATTAATACATTGGTGCAATGAAAATAACGTGATTTTCCAGTAAAATAAAAATGTATATTTTCAATCATCTGAAGCCATGCAACAATGGGAGTTGACAAGACAATGACAATGACATTGCTTCAAAATAAATGGAAAATGTACAGAAAACGATAAACTTCCTTGTATTTTCTACTTTATTTCCATAAAAAAGTTCATGGTCAATTTAACAAAAAAGAATAACTAATCTACTTATGTAGAAAATAATTCAACTTGTGCCAGAACAACACTGATAATTAACTAATGCGCTACCGGGTATGCACATTTGTGAATTAATGTTTTATTGTCACTCATTGTATATTTTTCTACATTTGAATTCTTGGATTAGTTTTTTAAAATTCTTACAAAGCCAGAACATCAAAATCAAGGCCTCATCTTCTATTCCAATGTACTGCCTCTTTTAAATGGAAAAATTCTACATATGTCTATCTGAATTCAAAATTTTGTAATTTGCTTTATTCTGACGATTAAATAATATCATCCCAATATCGTTCATTATGTCTTATTGCATAATTCTAAGGTTAAAATCATTTGGTTTCTTTATATGGAATATCACTGGCCAAATAATATACCGTGGATTCATTATTATTCGTGGATTTCATGGGTAATTGTAAACCAAGAATTTAAATGTTCCACTACAAATTTTCAGTACGTTTTTATGCAGACTTTGGCAAAACCATGAATCAAATATACACAAAAATACATTTTTTTCTCAATCAGCAAAAATTGGTATCCAAGAAAAATAAATATATCTACAGAAATACAAAAAAAATCTTTGTTAAGAATTTTTTATTCTTCAGAAACTTAGAAAAAAAAACATGCAATAAAAAGCATTTATTACTTAATGCCCAATGATTCTGAACATTAAAATACATCCATTATCTATACTAAAATGTTACAGCATAACCATTTCATTTGAAAATTCTTGCATGATAATTTCAGAAACTTCCAATCTTTGGTCTAATGCAAAATAATAAAACAAATGCTTGTGAAGTATAAAAAAAATCTAAAAATGGCACAAAAATAATATCTATTACAACTCATCTACATTCATGCTTAAATCCTAAAAAATCTCATTTGAAAGCTTAATACATACTGCAAGCTAATTCATTTTCGTAAAAATGCTAACCATCATACAAACAAGCCTTGTCAACAAATTCAAAACTTTAGCTATACTTTGTCCTTTAAACTTTCTAAATTTGAAAGTACTCAAAACTTCAACCTAACTTTGACAATTATATTATGAATTTACAAAAAATCTTTTCTATAATTCTGTCTACAAAAATAAAGTAGCTTACAGTATAATTTGAGACAAAATGTTTAAAGAAGACATGGAATGTAACAAAACGTTGTGTAAAACATCAGATCATGGTTATGTTGTCGAGTGAATGTCAACTTCACCAGGCTCTGACATTACATGTCTACAGTCCAATAATGTAGAAAGTTCAAGCACAATCTTACATAACACAGGGTGTTCCAGTATCTCTTCTGTAGGCAATGGGGGATGAGACATTGGGTAGTAGCTGGGCCCCTGAAAAGTATTTATAACAATAAGAAGGATGATAAACTAGATTTTAAATTGAAATTATACCTCCTCAATTGTCTAGAAGTTCTATGACAAAAGCAATATGTCAAAGGTAAGTCACACAAGTATAGTTCAAGATCAGCAAGACATTTGTATAATGATTATAGTTAAAGGTTTTTTTATATCATTCTTTCAGTTCAAATATATTAGTTTTTCAGAATATAAATACCTGCTCATTTTTCATATCAACTGAATTTGAATGATTTAACAATAATTATCGCTTAAACATTTTACTTGCAAGTTTTCTGTTATGCAATTTAAGCAATTAAACTGTTCTGCTGTGGTCATCTATCATAAATAAAGTCACATATTAGATTCTTGTAAATAAAACAGACAATACTCTTTTTATACTTAATTTAACTCACTTTAAAGCCTCTGTGTAAGATGAGAACAATATAACAAAACACAAATCTCAACATGATGAGCCGTAAAAAGTCATCTCCAAGAAACTGTATGTAGGCATGATCTGAAATATTAAGATAAGTGTATATTGTATTTGAGATATCATACTTTGATAAGTCAGGAATACATTTGCAGTGGATATATGTTTTAGTATTGTTACTCTATATATATATATTTATGAAAATTCTTGGTTTTTTCACTGACAGTTGCAAACTTCAAGGCATGACTCATACTTGTTTAAAAGTAATTTTGGAGGAGAACATGCTTTTTATAGTTTCATAATGCTTTGAGTTTTGTTTTACTTAAGAATTATTAAGAATTGACTTCATATGTGGAATTCATGCATTTTTTTTTATATTCAATCAAATAAATACATTGTTGTAGTAGAATTGTACTTTTGCTTCAAACCAAAACAAAGAATCAATGGATGGGGGAAGTGTGTTTAATCAATCTCATTAATTTGTCACAGGAACTTTTGAGATAATTTTGTTAGTAAAATATAATTTGACAATATGATTGATTGACTAATTTTTGGTGCTTTCAAGCCACTTTCAGCACTATTGGCTATTTTGTGGCAGCTAGTTTTTGTTGATGGAGGAAGACAGAGTGACCAGAGAACAACGACCTTTCGGCAACAAGTAGAAGTACCCAGAGAGAACCATCCACCTTCGTGAGGAAAACTGGCAATCCTACTTAATTAAAATTGGAGTCAAAACAACTTCCTTGTGTAGGGCATGAACTCATAACCTCAATGCTGTTAGGCTAGTGCTACAGTAGTTGAACTACTTAGACCACTTGGCCAGTGAAGCCCCTTTGACAATATGTCATTCAGGTTTACAAAATATGAAAAAAATTATGATCAATGTTTATCACATGTTTTCTAAATGAAGCTAATCAGAAACCAGAACACATTGTGCTGACAACCAATGAACAACCATGTAACAAATGAACAACATAAGTTACTAACATACAAACCTATGCCACAAAGTAAACTCCATCCAGGTACTTACCTATTGACCTAGACTTAACAAATAGTTTTGAAGCTTCTGCCATAAACTTGTTGACTTGAGCCTGACATTTGTCCCATGTTGCTATCGATATTGACATATAGTTACATACTAGACAGAATGCCATCAATGGGGAATGTAAAAACAAGGTAAACAATTTTCCTTTCTGGTTTTGATCTGAAATAGAAAATGACCATTGTTAAAATTTCTGTACAGCTGTAAACAATGATTCTGAAACTACAAAACTAACAAGACTTAAAGAATATATATACTGTAGATTTATTATTATTTGTTGGATACCAAGTTTCATGGATTGTGGGTATCATGAATTTTGTGGGTACAGGTGAACCATAAATTTAAATGTTCAAAAAATTACAAATTTTCTGCAGATTTTGGCAAAACCATGAAATAAAATATCCAAAAAAATACTTTTTCTCAATCCAGGAATATTGATAGCTATGAAAACTAGAGGCTCTAAAGAGCCTGTGTCGCTCACCTTGGTCTATGTGAATATTAAACAAAGGACGCAGATGGATTCATGACAAAATTGTGTTTTGGTGATGGTGATGTGTTTGTACATCTTAATTTACTGAACATTTTTCCTGCTTACAATTATCTCTATCTATAATTAACTTGGCCCAGTAGTTTCAGAGGAGAAGATTTTTGTAAAAGATTACTAAGATTTACGAAAAAATGGTTAAAAATTGACTATAAAGGGCAATAACTCCTAAAGGGGTCAACTGACAATTTCGGTCATGTTGACTTATTTGTAGATCTTACTTTGCCGACATTTATTGTTTTTTACAGTTTATCTCTATCTATAATAATATTCAAGATAATAACCAAAAACAGCAAAATCACCTTAAAATTACCAATTCAGGGGCAGCAACCCAACAACGGGTTGTCCGATTCATCTGAAAATTTCAGGGCAGATAGATCTTGACCTGATAAACAATTTTACTTCATGTCAGATTTGCTTTAAATGCTTTGGTTTTTGAGTTAAAAGCCATAAACTGAATTTTACCCCTATGTTCTATTTTTAGCCGTGGCGGCCATCTTGGTTGGTTGACCAGGTCACGCCACACATTTTCAAAACTAGATAACCAAATGATGATTGTGGCCAAGTTTGGTTTAATTTGGCCACGGTGTTTCAGAGGAGAAGATTTTTGTAAAAGATTACTAAGATTTACGAAAAATGGTTAAAAATTGACTATAAAGGGCAATTACTCCTAAAGGGGTCAACTGACCATTTCGGTTATATTGACTTATTTGTAAATCTTACTTTGCTGAACATTATTGCTGTTTACAGTTTATCTCTATCTATAATAATATTCAAGATAATAACCAATAAAATGCTCCGCCGGGCGCAGCTTGATACGACCGCAGAGGTCGAACCCTGAACAGTTGGGGCAAGTATGGACACAACATTCAAGCTTGATACAGCTCTGAATTTGGATTGTGATTAAATATTTGACACAGGATAGGTTTCTGACACAGAATGAATGTGGTCTAAGAACTTAAAAATTTTAAATTGGACATTCACCTATTATGGTCCAATATCCAAAATCTAAATACATGGTTAGATTCAGCATATCAAAGAACCCCAAGAATTCAATTTTTGATGAAATCAAACAAAGTTTTATTTTAGACCCTTTTGACCTCAATGTGGACAAAGTTGATAACGGGGCCCAAAAATCAAAAATCTAAATACATAGTTAGATTCAGCATATCAAAGAACCCCATATATTCAATTTTTGTTGAAATCAAACAAAGTTTAATTTTGGACCCCGATTTGGACCAACTTGAAAACTGGGCCCATAATCAAAAATCTAAATACATGTTTAGATTCAGCATATCAAAGAACACTAAAAATTCAATTTTTGTTAAAATCAAACTAAGTTTAATTTTGGACCCTTTGGACCTTAATGTAGACCAATTTGAAAACAGAACCAAAAATTAAGAATCTAAATACACGATTAGATTCGGCATATCAAAGAACCCCAATAATTCAATTTTTGATGAAATCAAACAAAGTTAAATTTTGGACCCTTTGGACCTCAATGTGGACCAATTTAAAAACGGGGCCCAAAATCCAAAAACTTAATACACGGTAAGATTCAGCATATTAAAGAACCCCAAGAATTCAAGAATAAAACCCCATTGAAATTAATCAAGAAATAAGCAATTTATACGAAGTATCTTCTTTTGCACAATACTGTGCAATTGAATATTTCTTGCTATTGCGCAATACTGTACAATTGACAATTTCTTGCTATTGCGCAATATTGTGCTATTGGATATTTCTTGCTATTGCGCAATACTGTGCAATTGAAGATTTCTTGCTATTGCGCAATACTGTGCAATTGAAGATTTCTTGCTATTGTGCAATACTGTGCAATTGAAAATTTCTTGCTATTGCACAATACTTATTATATAATAATTTACACATCCTGTTTGGTGTGTATCTCCTACCATATCATTATTATTTGCTTTTAAATATAAATCAGAAATAACCAACTTAAAATGGAAAATTTTAAAAGAAAAAAAAGAAAAAAAAAATCCCCCCCCCCCCAAATTTTTTGAACCCCCTTATGATTCATCACCCCCAAACTCAATCCCAGCCTTCCCTTTGTGGTATGGTACCTTGCAGTACAATTTCAGAGAGATCCATACAATTGAACACAAGTTATTGTCTGGAAACTAGAAAAATGCTTATTTTTGGCCCCTTTTTGGCCCCCAATTCCTAAACGTTTAGGGCAATTACCCCCAAACTCAATTCCGGCTTTCCCTTTGTGATATGGAACCTTGTAGTACAATTTCAGAAATATCCAAACACTTACACACAAGTTATTGTCATGAAACTAGAAAAATGCTTGTTTTTTGCCCCTTTTTTTGGCCCCTAATTCCTAAAATTTTGAGGCAATTACCCCCATAATCAATTACAGCCTTCCCTTTGTGATATGGAACCTTGTGGTACAATGTCAGAGAGATCCATACACTTACACACAAGTTATTGTCTGGAAGTTACAAAAATGCTTATTTTTGGCCCCTTTTTGGCCCCTAATTCCTTAACTGTTGGTACCATAACCCCCAAAATCAATCCCAACCTTCCTTTCGTGGTATTGAACCTTATAATAAAATTTCATGGAGATCCATTCACTTAAACTAAAGTTAGAGTGCGAAAACCAATGTGTCTTCGGACGACGACGACGACGACGACGACGACGACGACGACGACGACGACGACGACGACGACGCCAACGTCATACCAATATACGACCAAAAAATTTTCAATTTTTGCGGTCGTATAAAAACAGCAAAATTTCCTTAAAATTACCAATTCAGGGGCAGCAACCCAATAACGGGTTGTCCGATTCATCTGAAAATTTCAGGGCAGATAGATCTTGACCTGATAAACAATTTTACTTCATGTCAGATTTGCTTTAAATGCTTTGGTTTTTGAGTTAAAAGCCATAAACTGAATTTTACCCCTATGTTCTATTTTTAGCCGTGGCGGCCATCTTGGTTGGTTGACCAGGTCACGCCACACATTTTTAAAACTAGATAACCAAATGATGATTGTGGCCAAGTTTGGTTTAATTTGGCCACGGTGTTTCAGAGGAGAAGATTTTTGTAAAAGATTACTAAGATTTACGAAAAATTGTTAAAAATTGACTATAAAGGGCAATAACTCCTAAAGGGGTCAACTGACCATTTCAGTCATGTTGACTTATTTGTTAATCTTACTTTGCTGAACATTATTGCTGTTTACAGTTTATCTCTATCTATAATAATATTCAAGATAATAACCAAAAACAGCAAAATTTCCTTAAAATTACCAATTCAGGGGCAGCAACCCAACAACAGGTTGTTCGATTCATCTGAAAATTTCAGGGCAGATAGATCTTGACCTGATAAACAATTTTACTTCATGTCAGATTTGCTCTAAATGCTTTGGTTTTTGAGTTATAAGCCAAAAACTGAATTTTACCCCTATGTTTTATTTTTAGCTGTGGCGGCCATCTTGGTTGGTTGGCCGGGTCACGCCACACATTTTTTAAACTAGATACCCCAATGATGATTGTGGCCAAGTTTGGTTAAATTTGGCCCAGTTGTTTCAGAGGAGAAGATTTTTGTAAAAGATTACTAAGATTTACGAAAAATGGTTAAAAATTGACTATAAAGGGCAATTACTCCTAAAGGGGTCAACTGACCATTTCGGTTATATTGACTTATTTGTAAATCTTACTTTGCTGAACATTATTGCTGTTTACAGTTTATCTCTATCTATAATAATATTCAAGATAATAACCAAAAACAGCAAAATTTCCAAGTAGTTTCAGAGGAGAAGATTTTTGTAAAAGTTTACGGACGACGGACGACGGACGCAGGACGACGGACGACGGACGCAAAGTGATGAGAAAAGCTCACTTGACCTTTCAGGTCAGGTGAGCTAATAATGAATCCAAAGATGGGATTGTCATCATATTCCCAACTTAGATACTGACATATGGTTTGAAGTTTTGAACACTTGTCCATTGTTAAGATGTGTATTGTGTTACTGGCTTATTGTCTGACATTTACTCCACTTTTTTTTTTCATTTACAATAAGTTAAATAGTTCAGAGCTCTAGGTGAGTTCCAATTAAATTGATTTGAAGTACGATTTTGAAATATTAAATGGAATTCTTGAGGATGTGAAATATTTAAGTTTAAGTCATACAAAAACCCTACAAACAAAGTTAATTTGTTCTGAAGTGGTAACTAGATATTGCTTTTGACAGAAACAAGTCATTTATTTACTGTACGTTTGATATACAAGGTAAAAAAGAAAGAAAGCTGGTCAATTTAAATTTACAACATGCAGAGATCGATTGGTTGATAGATTGTGGCAATTACTTCATGCATTTGCCTGACGATGCAGAGATTGGTGAAATACATGAGACTTTTAATTTAACTGACTACTTTTTTTTCCTACAAACTGTTGCCATCTGCTATAATACTGTAGATTCATTTATTTTCATTGATATCAATTTTTCGTGGATTGAAGAAAAAATGTTCTTTCCTAGATATTTGATTTTGTGGTTTTGCCAAAGTCTGCCATATAAACCCAAAGAACTTATACTTGACTAAACATATAAATTTATGGTTTACTTATATCCACAAAATCCACGAAAATTGGTATCCCACAAATAATAATGAATCCACAGTAGACCTTTGAATTGTAATTCTAACTGTTTCAAGTTTCTATATAATCTTATACATTCAAATATTATCTGAAAATAAGTCAAACAACACACCAATACCTAAACCACAGAACTTGATTGTAAACATCAAGAAACCTACATGCAAAAAAGCTACTTTTTTCATTTTAAGAAAACAAAATATACAAGCAAGAATCTATAAAGCCTTTCTACAAGCAAGCACCATTACCATTCAACAAAATTATTTACAATGCAAACAAATCATTCTAAACTGTATTTGAGATAACACATACACTAAACCAGCTTTCCATAGCTATAGAAGCATTATACCTACCAGTATACAGTGTGAAAGAGTTAGAGGATATGGGTAAAAAATGGTGACTTTTAAATGGGGAAAGGGAAGGGGTCTACAGGTAGTTATGACTACATTAGTAGTAGCAAGTTTTTTTTTCATTAAGGGGAAAACACTTAGAGCTTCTGTTAAAAAAAAGAAGCTAAAATAGACATTTTTCCACATTAAATCTAATTTCTTAAGAGTACAATCAGTGTTTTGAATCCTGTCTTAAAAACATATATAGATCTAAAATAAATGGATAAATTTTATGAAAAATATTTTCTTAGCCTTTTCTTGCTCTTATCAGTTTTATCGACAGCAAACTAAAATAAAATTACAGTACTGTGCTAGTTTACTAAATTTTCAATATCACAACAGTCATTTGTGAGAATCTCAATTTCTGTGGAACTATAAAATTAATTTCTTGTCTATAGCCACAATAAGACAACACCAAAACCAAAAATATGTATTTAGATTCTCTCTACTAATGTATAAAAGACATTGTTACAGTTATTCTTTCTGCAGGAAAAATACAAATAAAATTATCAAATTATAGAAAAATGTTCATATTTCTCTTAAATCTTAAATTCTTACAGTAGTTTTGGGTAATTCTAGAATAAGAAACAAAAAGAACTAAAATTCTATATCATTCTAACCTTTTCCAACAATATCAACATTGTTTTCAATTGGAAACTTTTGTATTTGTTCATAGATTTTTATTTAAATGTTTATTGTAAAAGTTGTGACAAATGAGAAGGTTTGATATGGCTGGGCTATGGCCCTTATTTCTAACTTGTATTTCAATTAAGGATTTCTTAGCCATTATCACAATGAATCAAAGCTTAAACAATGACTAGAAAGGAAATATGTCTTTTTTGTTGAAAATTTTCATATCAGACTTCTTTTCATGATGTCACAAATTTTCAAGAGAATCTAAATAACGCCAATCAAATACACGTGTTATCATACATCCATAAAAATCAACACATAATTTACATACTTCTTTCTGAAAATAAAAATAGCAGAATATATGTTATAAATATCTCAAAACCAGACAATAGTTTAATTACTTGAAATTACTTATTAAATAATATTTAATCAAACTGCATTTTAATATTTTTTATGTACAGAAACTATGACGGACTTTGTAATTTAAGACTTTTGGCAATTAAGTACTGTATATTCATCAATTTTTAAATGTGTTTTATTATTGTGAAAAAGTGTGACAGTATATGATTTCTAAAAATTAGATGTGTTTTATTATTGTGAAAAAGTGTGACAGTTTATGATTTCTAAAAAAAAAACCTCGCATTATTTTTATGTAGTATTTCCTGGAAATTGCAATAATCAATCTCACTTTTTTATCCTTTTTTCAACAATCATAAAAATAAATGCACACAATAATTTCTGAATTCACAGTCCTACCTAATTCATAATGTTTTATCATTATTGTAACTAAACAGTTCAAAAAACTCTTTCCCTGACATTATATCTTAAATTCATTCAAAATCTAAATTAAATTTAAAAATAAAAAAAATCTAATCCTACACAAGATAATAGCCTACATACAATTTATAGTATGCCAACTAAGAGCAAATAAGGTATTGAGAGAATCTACAGGCTCAAGAGAGGTGCAACAGTATCATACTACTAAGATATCACAGATAACCTCCCTTGTAAAAACTTATTGTTAGGTAATTCCAATAGAACATGGAAGTTGTTAGGTAATTCTAATAGAACATGGGTTGCATGTGAATTATGTCACAATTAAAATTGAAACTTCACTTGTATTTAGAACAACTCTGGAAATCAAAAGGACTTTTGTGCTGGTGTTCTGTGCTAGGAAGTTATTTAAAATCATTCTTAAAGTAAGTTTACATGTATCTGTTCAATTTTTTATTCCTTAAGGGTTGGTTTTCTATAACTTTTTGGCTTCCTCAAAACAAAATGGCTGCCTTTTAACCGTGTCTTATAGGTTTGCTTCGAGGTACAAAAGCTAAAATTTTTCCTATTAGAATCAAAATAATTCTATCATGCCATGCTCTATGCTCATTTAAATATTGGTAGGCATTATATTTGAATTTGACAGATATAGAAATGGAATCAATTCACAATGGAAAGAAATGCATTCTAAATTGTCTTTCTTGTTTGAAAATACAAATAATGCACCTTTCTTGAACCTATACTGGACAGAACCAAGAGAACCATAAGTAGGAAAAGGATTTCAGCAAACTAACAAACCTATAATAGGTTGATTAACAGCTAAAAAATAAAAACATGCATTATAAAGAAATGACTATACATATAACAAACCAAGTAAGCAGAGTTATATTCTACATAGTTTTGATAATTTCCATGTAATACAATGCATACTGAAGCAAAAGTTGAAACATATATCAATGTCAACTAACAAGCTTTCGCTAGGAGTTCCTTATTCATGCAATTCATTTCAGAGAAAAATTTATGTCTTAGTATACTTTTTATCTTTTAAGTAATCACAAAAAAGTACACAATAATTATTTTGGGGAAATAGAATGGAATTTTCATGCATTTTTTTTATATCTTCTAGCTGATTTCTGAAAAAAATCTAAATCCTAAGAGACATTATTGTGAAATATTAAAATATTCTATTAAATGTAGTCTTTTGTTATTAATGTATCTTAAAGATGTTTACCTTGCATGGCATGAGGGACCTGTTCTGGTGATAGAAAGCACACAACTGGCTGTCCGAACAAATTTGGAAAATTCTGAATGAGAACAAAATATTGCATCATCAACTTTCAAATATACAATTTGCACAATTAAAAAGCCACAAAAGATCAAAATAACCACTAAAAATTTTTGAATTAAAAACGGTCTACAGGTGTGTATAATATGCATCCCCTCTACCAACTATATGTCTTGAGTATTATTCACGACCAAATACAGTATATTATTACTTATGAAACATGATTGACTAGATTTGTCAATGGTATGTTCACAACCTAAATATTACACATCTTTCTTTAAACTATAATAAAATGCTCCGCTGGGCGCAGCTTGATTTGACCGCAGAGGTCGAACCCTGAACAGTTGGGGCAAGTATGGACACAACATTCAAGCTTGATACAGCTCTGAATTTGGATTGTGATTAAATATTTGACACAGCATAGGTTTCTGACACAGAATGAATGTGGTCTAAGAACTTGAAAATTTTAAATTGGACATTCACCTATTATGGTCCAATATCCAAAATCTAAATACATGGTTAGATTCAGCATATCAAAGAACCCCAAGAGTTCAATTTTTGATGAAATCAAAAAAAGTTTAATTTTGGACCCTTTTGACCTCAATGTGGACAAAGTTGATAACGGGGCCCAAAAATCAAAAATCTAAATACATGGTTAGATTCAGCATATCAAAGAACCCCATATATTCAATTTTTGTTGAAATCAAACGAAGTTTAATTTTGGACCAGATTTGGACCAACTTGAAAACTGGGCCCATAATCAAAAATCTAAATACATGTTTAGATTCAGCATATCAAAGAACCCTAAAAATTCAATTTTTGTTAAAATCAAACTAAGTTTAATTTTGGACCCTTTGGACCTTAATGTAGACCAATTTGAAAACGGAACCAAAAATTAAGAATCTAAATACACGGTTAGATTCGGCATATCAAGGAACCCCAATAATTCAATTTTTGATGAAATCAAACAAAGTTAAATTTTGGACCCTTTGGACCTCAATGTGGACCAATTTAAAAACGGGGCCCAAAATCCAAAAACTTAATACACGGTTAGATTCAGCATATTAAAGAACCTCAAGAATTCAAGAATAAAACCCATTGAAATTGATCAAGAAATAAGCAATTTATACGAAGTATCTTCTTTTGCACAATACTGTGCAATTGAATATTTCTTGCTATTGCGCAATACTGTACAATTGACAATTTCTTGCTATTGCGCAATATTGTGCTATTTGGATATTTCTTGCTATTGCGCAATACTGTGCAATTGAAGATTTCTTGCTATTGCGCAATACTGTGCAATTGAAGATTTCTTGCTATTGTGCAATACTGTGCAATTGAAAATTTCTTGCTATTGCACAATACTTATTATATAATAATTTACACATCCTGTTTGGTGTGTATCTCCTACCATATCATTATTATATGCTTTTAAATATAAATCAGAAATAACCAACTTAAAATGGAAAATTTTAAAAGAAAAAAAAAAAGGAAAAAAAGAAAAATCCCCCCCCCCCCCCAAAGTTTTTGAACCCCCTTATGATTCATCACCCCCAAACTCAATCCCAGCCTTCCCTTTGTGGTATGGTACCTTGCAGTACAATTTCAGAGAGATCCATACACTTGAACACAAGTTATTGTCTGGAAACTAGAAAAATGCTTATTTTTGGCCCCTTTTTGGCCCCCAATTCCTAAACGTTTCGGGCAATTACCCCCAAACTCAATTCCAGCTTTCCCTTTGTGATATGGAACCTTGTAGTACAATTTCAGAAATATCCAAACACTTACACACAAGTTATTGTCATGAAACTAGAAAAATGCTTGTTTTTTGCCCCTTTTTTGGCCCCTAATTCCTAAAATTTTGAGGCAATTACCCCCAAAATCAATTACAGCCTTCTCTTTGTGATATGGAACCTTGTGGTACAATGTCAGAGAGATCCATACACTTACACACAAGTTATTGTCTGGAAGTTACAAAAATGCTTATTTTTGGCCCCTTTTTGGCCCCTAATTCCTTAACTTTGGTACCATAACCCCCAAAAATCAATCCCAACCTTCCTTTCGTGGTATTGAACCTTATGGTAAAATTTCATGGAGATCCATTCACTTAAACTAAAGTTAGAGTGCGAAAACCAATGTGTCTTCGGACGACGCCGGACGACGACGCCAACGTCATACCAATATACGACCAAAAAATTTTTAATTTTTGCAGTCGTATAAAAAGGGACCTAAAATTCTTATAAAAAACATATATATCATGTAGATTATTAAATGAAATGATTTTTTGGACAAACGATTTATCAAAGCAGTTTTTGTATTGAAAGGGATACACATGGGACTTAAATAGTCAAATTTTGTTACTATTGTTAAAAGAATTATAATCAAGTTAGTAAACTTGTAAATTTCCACTTCATAAATTTGGAAATTGAAATTTAACTACATCCACGATACCATGGATACTGATAAAATTCAATCATAACTTTTTTCATTTGTTAAAAACTATATCTTATTTTTATTCTTGAAATCATAACAGGTAATGTTTTATATAATTTGATTACCTAGGAACTATCTTTAAGTGCATTTTTAATTAAATAAATTGACTTCACTTCAAAGATAATTTATGCTTCCAATTACGGGCAGATTTCATATAAAAAGTTGGCTAATATTGTGTTTCACACTTTCTGCAAGTCCTTTACATATCTTCTATGGTTTGAATAATTGTGTAAAGTCCAGAATTATGCCCATCTTAAAATGTCGAGTGGTGACATAAAGGCAGATTGGCTGGATAAAAACATGGGGATAGACAAGGGCAATTTAGTTTACCTACATATGCGTACTATACACAGCCGAATACGGTGAGTGGTAATCATAAGAACATCTATATAACAATACACATACCTGGAATGCAGAGCTGTTGTCACTATCAACAATTAGAAATAATGGTTTTCTTGTGTAAGGATATAGATCTCCTGGATGTAAACTGCAATAATAGAAAATTGTTATCCTCAGATCAAAATGAAATTGATTAATAACATTTATTCTTCTTCTGTTATCTAAATCAAATGTTTTATTAAATGTTTTGTTTGACAGCTTGTAATAAGAATTTACAAAGGTTTTTAATAACTCTGAATTACATCTTCAAATTCTATATAGGAGGATGTATTTGTGATGATTTTCCTTTATTTCAATTGACAATTTTACAAATAATATTAGAAAATGCATACTTTTGTTTTTTTTTGCATTGGTGACTTTTAAGGATAGCCAGTGTTACATTTTCTAATTTCATAATTTTGGAGCAAACCAAATTAATATCATATATAAATTTCAGGCAAATATTTTTACTTTTGGCAGTAGATAAACATTTGTTTGCAAGTTGACAGTAAGGAATAAATATTGTCTTTATATCAGATCATCTCAAAATTCACTCATATATTCATGTCTATTTTCCATCATTATTGAAATGTCATTTCAAAAAAAGTGCACATGCTCAAATGTCTTGCCTGCTTTACTGAACTTAATTGATTCTATGTTGAATGTCTTTAAGATAAAGGCTTTACTACAACCATAACATAAACTTAACATATCAAAGATCCATGTAAATGAATTCCAGGTCAGATTAACCACGCCGGATATGTACACCTAATCCAATCAATCCATACACCAAAAACAGTAGACCTATTGCTTAAAGGAACAGACCTAACCACAAAAACCTAACCTTGACCATTGAACCATGAAAATAAGGTCACGATCAGAGGAACACATACAATCATTCCATACATATAGTTGACCTACTGCTCATAGTGTCTGAAATACAAGATTCAGCTGAAATTAAAATTTAATATTGAGTAATAAACTGTGAAAATGTGGTCAAGGTCAAATTGAACCCAGCTAGATAGTTTTGTACACTATACAATTAATCTATACACTTAATATAGTTGATCTATTGATTATAGTATTGCTTATGGTATTACCAAACCACAAAAACCAAAATATTGACCAATGAACCATAAAGATGAGTTCAAGAACAGATGATACCTCAGACAGGCATCATACCACATCTTCTTTTTTATATGTACACCTTACAATCATTCCATACACCAAACATAGTTAACAAATACATTGACCAATGCACCACAGAAATTGGGTCAATGTCAGAGGACACCTGCCAGAGACATATACACCTTAGGCCAAAAAAAAATGCATGTCTGTTTAAGGTTACGTCATTAAAAAAAATATGGTAGGTAGGTCGGTATTTCCATTTTATTTTATTTTTTCATTTTATTTTTTGCGACATGATTTTGAGTCGTGCAGTCCATCTTGCCGTGGTCTGAGTTATCCATGGGCAGAGTTTACCTGTATTTTTAATGATTGGATTATTTCCCTTGGTTATTGATTGAAAAAAAAATGGCGGTAAAGTGTTTATTTCATCACATGAGCAGCGAGTTTCTTAAAACAGCTGTCATATTCACGATTGTGAACATTTAGATGTATCAGGCAATTGATTTATTTTATTGGCAACTCTAACTATGCTTTTGTCCAGAGTTCAGTTAATTTTTCACTTTACGACCGGAATAAAATGACTTGGGGTCGTTGCTCAAAAGTAGGGTCAGTCGGGTACCGTAAACAGACATATTTTTTTTTTGGTCTTACAATCCTTCCATGCATAAAATATGGTTGATCTATTGCTTTAATATAGTATATAACAAAACAGACCAAAACACAGAAACTTAACATTGACCAATGAACCATGAAAATTAGGTCAAACATGTACACCTTACAATCATTCCATACACCAACTATAGTTGACCTTTGAGAAACAGGCTTAACTTTAACCTTGATCACTAATGCAGGAAATAAGCAGCAGGTAAAGTGAACCCTGTCTAATGAACATGTTGACCTTGCAGGGATGCAATATACCAATTATAATTATCCTTATACAAGTACTCCTAATAAAAGAGGTATTTAAATGACAAAAACTATACTGTTTTTATGCTGAACCATGGAAATGAGGTAAAGGACACTGGACATAAAATAGACGGATACTTTGAAACATAAGATTTCTGTATACAAGGTATGAAGCATCCAGGTCTTCTACCTTTTGAAACATAAAAGTTTTATACAGAAAGTATACACCGCAACTGTTGCCACAGCTGGATTACTTTTTCCTATTCTCTCATTCTGCGATTTTCTTACAGGTGGGACAGAAACTTTGCATTATTTATTGTGATTATACCAATTTGATGATATTAAACATTTGAATTTACCAGTTGGATTCTTTCAACATTCCTGGTCTTCTGTTTTTATTGATAATATCAGCATCTTTTCTACTGTTACATATCACACCTCCTAAATCATAGGCAGCTGAAATGTAAAATGTACCATGTAATGTATACATATCACACCTCCTAAATCATAGGCAGCCGAAATGTAAAATTTATCATGTAATGTAAACATATAACACCTCCTAAATCATAGGCAGCCGAAATGGAAAATGTATCATGTAATGTAAACATATAACACCTCCTAAATCATAGGCAGCTGAAATGGAAAATGTATCATGTAATGTAAATATATAACACCTCCTAAATCATAGGCAGCCGAAATGGAAAATGTATCATGTAATATAAATATATAACACCTCCTAAATCATAGGCAGCCAAAATGGAAAATGTATCATGTAATGTAAACATATAACACCTCCTAAATCATAGGCAGCCGAAATGTAAAATGTATCATGTAATGTAAACATATAACACCTCCTAAATCATAGGCAGCCGAAATGTAAAATGTATCATGTAATGTAAACATATAACACCTCCTAAATCATAGGCAGCCGAAATGTAAAATGTATCATGTAATGTAAACATATAACACCTCCTAAATCATAGGCAGCCGAAATGTAAAATGTATCATGTAATGTAAACATATAACACCTCCTAAATCATAGGCAGCCAAAATGGAAAATGTATCATGTAATGTAAACATATCACACCTCCTAAACCATAGCATAGGCAGCAAAAATGGAAAATGTATCATGTAATGTAAATATATAACACCTCCTAAACCATAGGCAGCCGAAATGGAAAATTTATCATGTAATGTAAATATTTAACACCTCCTAAATCATAGGCAGCAGAAATGGAAAATGTATCATGTAATGTAAATATATAACACCTCCTAAATCATAGGCAGCTGAAATGGAAAATGTATCATGTAATGTAAACATATAACACCTCCTAAATCATAGGCAGCTGAAATGGAAAATGTATCATGTAATGTAAACATATAACACCTAAATAAATGGCAGCCGAAATGTAAAATGTTAAAAAAAATCATATGTACCTACCACCTATATCATAAGGTTATCTTGAATAAATTAACTACTTTGACATTGTTGCAAGAAAAAGACACATTCTAATTCTCCGTGAATCAGGTCAAACAATATACCTACAGAATTGAATTTGACTTTTTCTTTATAAGGGGAGCCAAGGAAGACATACTTCATAAATGTAAATCCAAAGTAAAACTTACCATCATCAGTGTGCTTGGCATTACCTAAACTACCATCTGCAGACAAATATAATAACATGGCACCATTTGGAGGGAGTTCTTTAAAACCAGAGGCTAGAAATGTATTCATTTGACTATATGTTGGTTTGTACAATAAATATTTGTGTGGGTTATCTCTCTTGGAATTTTTGTCACCATTTTCCTGAAATGAAATCACAAGAATTATGAACTACTGTAAATTCAGAAATTATTGTGAGGTTTTTATTAATGCGAATAATGCGATTGAGTGAGTATCGCAATAATAAGAACTCGCATTCTGATATCTGATATAAATAACTGTATGCAGATTGTCATGCAATCGCAATAATTAATCTCGCATTTTTGTCCTTTCCACAAAAATCGCAATAATAAATGCACGCAATAATTTCTGAATTTACAGTATTCGCATATGCAACTTCTGATTAAGTTAGTAGTCCTTTCATAAGGCTTTTGTCAACTTTCTTACAAAAACCAGCTCACATCAACTTACATTCATATACTTTTTCAGTGTCTGATCTTGAAAATAGTTCTCATTCAACAAGGAGTTTGGCAGAAAAATAATCCTTGTATTTAGATAATAACTGATATTTCATAATCAAATAAATGAAGTTAAGACTTACAAATGGTGGTCTACCAGGAGCAGGAGAAGCATCATATATCTGGGTTCCTGTAAAATCTTCTTGTGGTTCTCTTTCTAATGTCTGTAGCACCCTGAACATATCAAGTGTCAATTCACTAAACTTCACCTGAAACCAAAATCTTGCACATTAGTCAGAAGGAAATAAATATTTTACTGAATACATAAAACTCAATAATTCCCCCAAAAAATACCATGAAAGCCAAATCTTAAACATTTCCTATTTTTGTACAACTTGGGTACATGTCTACAACTCCTTCAAATAACAAACTGGTAATTTGACTTTCACTATTAGACCAAAATATAAGTATTTGTTTCTATCAATAGTGAAAATTTAAATACTTCAAAGCTTAAAGTTTTTCCTCTATCAATGTCTTTCATCTGATTCTATCTGATCAATGTTTTTTTTTCTACCAAGTGTCAGGGGAGGCAACCCCCATTTCTTGAAATATTCTTACCTGATCTGCTGTATTTCCCACGATGATAATTTCTTGTAATGCTAAATACACTGGTGTACTTTTGTCTAATGGGGGTGTGTTTAATGGTGTTAGTCTGTGTGACAACAAGAAATAGTTTGGGTCCACATCATGGATGTCTATTAAATTGTCCGACTGTAAAAAGAAAATGTATATTAACCAATTCAATATAAGACATACTAAATTTTTTCACATTGTTCTATTTTTTCATATTGGAAAAGAATCAATTAATTCAACACCATGTAACATGAAGATTTAGTTCACAACTTTACATGGCAAATTTGAAAATAAAGCCTACGTGAAGTAAAATCTCAATAAGATTATGAACGGCTTTAATCTAATATTTCATCAAGTTCCATAACAATCAATTTTTTTTCAACAACTATATTAACAAACAACAAATATAATTTATACTCCAATAACTGAACACAGTATCGCTAACAATAGTCAAAATGTATGCATGTAATGTTGGTATGGCATGTCAAGATTAGCAGAACATCAGACACAAAAAGATTTAGAAGTAGCACTTTTCTCACATAAATTAAATCAAAATTATTACATTTTATCAAAGACATAAATGTAAAGGAGCATGATATGATAGCAATGATTTCATTCTATTGGTTTTATAATATATGTTTGGTCAATTTCATAATATTTTTATATACATGTATCTGTTTTTGTTCTTTTTCATTACAAAGATACAGTAATGTCCTAGCAATTGGAATATGGGCCTCTTTTTACTTTAGGGGTCCCAACTCATATATAGTTGTGAAAAACTATTATTTACCCTTAACCTTGTCGTTTACCCGTATCTATCCCTAACACTAACCCTAATCCTAAAACTTAACCCTAACCTAGAACATCCCACACTTAACCATAGCCATAAATGAACCCTAACCCTACAATAAAAGAAGGCCGGAATGTGATCAATATTATTCTGATTCCAGTTAACAATACTATCAAAAGACAAATATAGTGATAAACAATTCAGTAATGTAAAAGATTTTACACATATAAAACTATGTATAAAACATCTAGTCATTTTATGCAATTAGTATTTGTAAAGTATATCAATCTAAATAATTACTTCTAAAAATGCATTGATTTCTCCCACTACTAAGGTCCATTCCATTTGATCTTCTGGTTCATATGTTAATGTGTAGTCTTCTATCTGTGCTTGTAATTCCTTCACAAAATATAACCAAACAGTAAATCTCTGTGTTTGTTTTTATATGCAATGAAGTATTGGACATAAATAATTGTTAGTTATAGTTGTGTTAAGATTGCCAATGAGACAACTATCCACCACTTCAATAAAGTAGATGTAAGCAATTATAGGCCGCCATATAGTCCATATTTGGGAAATAACAATGTTAACTTTTTTTAAATAATCAGCCATAGTGTTTGCTATTATTCTTCAAAGTAATACCTAAAATCTAGACAAATCTCAAATGGGAGAAAATTATTTCAACTTGAAAATATTTTCTTGCTTCTTTGCCCTATTGTACAATGGCTATTGACTGTTTGTTGGGGCATCAACAATTAACTCCCCTGAAATTGTATCATCTCCCTTTTACAGGTAGGTAAATTTTGTTTGGACCATTAGCCATAATATATATGTATTATTTAAATATAAAAATGATTGATAAAATGTTTTAAAGTCAACACATACCTTTACTAAATCTTTAACCAGTTTCATTCTTTTCAGCAACAAACATACAACTATAAATCTGGCATAAAATCTTAGTTTTTTCACCATCAAGTCAGATCTGTAAGAAACCATATAGAGCAGTTTAATAAATCATAATGCTTTTTAGATTACTTCAGTTTTAAGCAGTACTAGTTCTGAAAGCAATTTTATTTCATTTTTTTTAGAAATACTTTTCTAGATTAAAATGAAGAAGGTGTTATTGTTCTGTATGCAGGGATTCCATTACAAGGTTGCATCATGCTTAGTTGTTTCTTATTTCACCATCTGAACTGGTTACTTTGGGAACAGATTAATACATATACTTGGTGACAACTTAAAATCGACTTCATCTTTGTGGCTATAACTGTAAAGGAAAACACTATAAAATGGTTTACAAACAACCTGTCTGGATGTATGTCGTAAACTAAAAAAAATACTATTACATTTTTTCATAAAGTACCAATTTTCATAGATTTCATGACCACCTGAAAAAATGTCAGTGAAAAAGTACTAACAAAATATCAATTAACCTTGGCGTTCAAAGACTTCATAAACCATTCAATAACAAAGTTATGATTTTTTCAATTAATGCTTTCTTGATATGTGAATTATGAATATAATTTTTTTTTTACAGTTATCATTTATACCATGAAATTATCTTCATTTTGTTCATTTTCCTAAGTTAAATTAAAGACCCCCCCCCAACTCCAAAATCTGGTCACATACATGTATACTGACCAATATATTAAACAACTGGCATGAATCTATAAGTTGATTATAAACAACAATTTAATAATTTGATAGAAATTTAATCACTACACCTTTCTTTTATATATTGATTGATTGGTGTTTAACACCACTTTAAGCACTATTGGCTATTTCGAAGAGGTCAGTTTTTTAATGGTGGAGCAAGCTAGAGAGTCCAGAAAGAACTATGACCTTTTGGCAGAAAAATTGCGTTTCCATGTCAATTAAGTTGGAGTTGAGGTGCCATGTTCTTTCATATAAGTGTTAGGTATGTGTACATGTACATAGATTAGGCAGTTCATATACTGTCATTTAAACAAATTATGTAATTCTTTATTAAGGTGAAATATATGACAGTATAAACATCAAAATAACATAAGTTCAATTTTCATTAATGATATTCTACTGCAAAATGAACATGCTATAATTAATGGTGCATTATCAATACCTAATAAAGATTACCAATAATAAATACACATATTAAATTCTGAATTTGTGTATTTTACATTTCATTGAATTGGGAAAAAATAAATGAATTTATAAAATCAATGATTCAAAACAATTACTACTGCCAAAAGATGAAGTTTATACAGGGATGCTTACTAGGTGAAATAATGAAATTAGTCTGATGAACAGATATCCCATAGGAATACAGGAATTTGGAATATTACCCTAATCTCATTTATTTGAAAGCATTTCTTTATTTCTACAATTTTTGTTAAATTTCAATAATACCTGTTACAGTATCATGAGGTCAAGTGTCAATGTGACAAAAAAACTGGTAGTTGAATTTTAGATCATAACTGAAGGTTGTAAAATTCTTTCCGATTGATTCTACATATTTTGTATACAGTCAAATGAAATATAAAATATGTGGTTTTTTGAAAAAATAAAACACAGGTGAGTCAAGTTCATAAATGATCAATGGATAGTAACAAGAAAGGTTCATATGGTTTTTTGTCTCACTTGTGCTAAAAATAAACTACAAACCTCTCTTCTTTATTAGCTTTTGAATAATATCCTCTATTCCTAATGGCAGAGTAAAAACTAAAGGCCTCATTTAAATAGTTAGTTTCACTTGTTCTTAAACTGAAATAAATAAAAATAAAAATTTGCAAGGTTATAGAACAGTGAAGTAATACATGTATAGCAATTTGAATACCATTAATTCAAGAAAACATATTTTCTCTTTTTTCCTTGCTGGCCTGACATGAAGTCAGATAAGTCAACAGCTTTGAAATTGCTTTTTATCTTAAAATAAGTTTTATATAAAATAAAAATTCGTAAGGGTTCCGCGGAACCCAGTGTCTCGCCTACTTTTGCTGTTAATCGCAGGCTCAACAAAAATGAGGAAAAAAATTAATAGAAATATTCCTTTAGATACTTTCTTTTGATTGTAAGAAGCTTCTGTCAAAGTTTGGTATAAATCCAGGATAGTTTATGAATCTAATTAATGTTTTAAAAACTTTAACTGCAGACTGTATTTAATGTTAACTGGAAGAAAAACTAAGCCCATTTATAAGTAAAATACGGATAAACAGGTACAAAATTTTAACAAAATTTCCTTCTAGATACTAACTTTTGATCATAAACAAGCTTCTGTCCAAGTTTGGTACAAATCCAGGATAGTTTAAGAAAGTAATTAAAATTTTAAAAACTTTAACCACAGAGTGAATGTATTGTTTCCTGGCGGAAAAACTAAGTCCATTTATAAGTAAAATACGGAAAAAAATGAAAATTTTTTTTAACAAATTTACTTCTGGATACTATCTTATGATCATAAACAAGCTTCTGTCCAAGTTTGGTACAAATCCAGGATAATTTAAGAAAGTTATTAAGATTTTAAAAACTTTAACCACAGAGTGAATGTAATGTTTCCCAGCAGAAAAAACTAAATCCATTTAATTTTACAAGTAAAATACAGAAAACAGGAATTTTATTTTTGCAAAATTTACTTCTGGATACTATCTTATGATCATAAACAAGCTTCTGTCCAAGTTTGGTAGAAATCCAGGATAGTTTAAGAAAGTTATTAAAATTTCAAAAACTTTAACCACAGAGTGAATATTTGTGGACGCCGCCGCCGCCGACGGAATGTAGGATCGCTATGTCTCGCTTTTTCGACTAAAGTCGAAGGCTCGACAAAAACTGAGTCATATCTTTAACCTTCGAACAGGTTACTTTCTCTTAGGACAAGTAATAAACTAAATCTTTTTCTCCAAGCAAAAGGGATTTGCTAGATAACAGAATATGGAAACATTCATCTTCCTGTGTAATTAAGTTGGTTTAACTTCTGAAATACGAAGTTTAATACTAAAAGCTTTAGCCACCATTGGATTAGCATCCCTATGCATCATATTCTGCAACATTCCTAGGGATAAGCATCATTGCCTCGCTTCCAGAAACATTTGACAGAAACAAGAAAAGCCCAAAAGACATCTACAGGTCAACATAGTCTCCAACAGCAGACTTATGCATATATTGTATGTCATGCTCTATATTTACACATCAGCACTGATCATAATATTTTTTTTATTTTAAGGTGTCAAGAGAAACTTCCCTATCTATAATCATGTTTCTTAAGGATTATAATCTTTGTTCTGGAGGATGGCAGATATAAGATGAAAAGAGATTAATGATGCCCAATTGCAACACAAAAATAAATTTATGAGAAGATGTCCAAAATGAAACAAGAGTGCACACGCTGAAATGTCTCGCCTTCTTTACTGACCATTGATTTTATGTTGATAGTCCTAAATATAAAGCTTTACAAAAAGTATCACATAAACTTAACATGATCCAAGAAAATGAGGTCAAGGTCAGATAAACCAAACTGGAAATACATGTACACCTTACAATCATTCAATACACCAAATATAGTTGACCTATTGCTTATAGTTTCTCAGAAACAGACTTAAACAGGAAAACTAAACATTGACCAATGAACCATGAAAATTAGGTCAAGGTCAGATGAACCATGCCAGGCAGACATGTACACCTTACAATCAATCTATGCATTAAATATAGTTGACCTATTGCTTATAGTATCTAAGAAATAAACTTAACCATGAAAACTTAACATTGACCAATGAACCATGAAAATGAGGTCAAGGTCAGATGATATCTGCCAGACACACATATATATGCATATACACCTTACAATCATTCCATACAACAAATATAGTTGACCTATTGGTTTTAGTTTAAGAAAAACAGACCAAAACACAAAAACTAAACACTGAGCAATGAACCGTGAAAATGAGGTCAATGTCAAATAAAACCTGCCAGACTGACATGTACATTGTAAAATATTTCCATACACCAAATATAGTTGACCTATTGCATATAGTATTAGAAAAAAAGACCAAAACACAAAAACTTAACTTTAACCACTGAGTGAACCATGAAATTGAGGTCAAGGTCAGATGACACCTGCCAGTTGGACATGTACACCTTACAATCATTCCATACACCAAATATAGAAGACCTATTGCTTATAGTATCTGATATATGGAATTGACCACGAAAACTTAACCTTGTTCACTGATCCATGATATGAGGTCGAGATCAGATGAAAACTATCTGACGGGCATGAGGACCTTGCAAGGTACGCTTATATTAAATATATTTATCCTATTACTCATAATAAGATAGAAATTAACATTACAAATAATCCGGACTTTTTTTTCAAGTAGTCACTGAACCATGAAAATGAGGTCAAGGACAATGGACATATGACAGACGGAAACTTCATAACATAAGGCATCTATAAACAAAGTATGAAGCATCCAGGTCTTCCACCTTGGAAAATATAAAGCTTTTAAGAAGTAAGCTTACGCCACTGCCGCCGCCAGATCACTATCCCTATGTCGAGCTTTCTGCGACAAAAGTCGCAGGCTCGACAAAAATCAGTCAGGAGCCTGTAATTCAGTGGTTGTCGTTTGTTACTGCATTTCATATGTGTTTTTTGTTTGTTGTTTTGTACATAAATAAGGTCATTAGTTTTTTTGTTTGAATTGTTTAACATTTGTCATTTTGGGGCACTTTATAGCTTGCTGTACGGTATGGGATTTGCTCATTGTTGAAGGCACTATAATAACTTATAGTTGCTTACTTCTACATCATTTAGTCTCTAGTCGAGAGTTGTCTCATTGGCAATCAAGCCACGTCTTCTTAATTTTATATCCATGTTCATTTATTAGTAATCAGGGTACCTGACAGATATACCATGTATGGCTGTACAATTATCGACACTTTTGGTCCTACATCTTATCTATACTTATATTTCGGCATATCACAAGACCATGCTTTTCTCACTCTTTATACTAGATATATTGGATGTGTCCTGATTGATATTTCAGTCTGGGAAAAACATGGCTTATTTATTAGTTGGAATTGGCTTTGAACTAGCTTTCATTAATTGTAAGTACTCTTTGTCCTTTTGTTTGATATGTTTTATATGCGCTTAATGCTGATTTGGTCAACCCTTTTTTAACTGATTTTTATAGTTTGTTCTTATGTTGTGCTTTGACACCACTGTCCCAGGTTAGGGGAAGGTTAAGCACTCACAAACATGATTAACCATACAAGTTCAGGAGCCCTGTAATTCAGTGGTTGTCTTTGGTTGCTATCTGGTTTTTTTTCGTTTGTTTTTATCATAAATCAGGCCATTGGTTTTCTCCTTTGAATTGTTTTACATTTTGTCATGCTGGGGCCTTTTAGACCTTGCTATACTATATGAGTTGTGCTCATTGTTGATGGCCATACAGTGCCCTATAGTTGTTTACATCCTCGTCCTTTGGTCTCTGTTGGATATTTGTCTCATTCACTGACAATCATATCACTGGTGGATATTTGTCTCATTGACAATCATATCACTGCATGCTGGTGGAAATTTGTCTCATTGACAATCATATCACTGGTGGAAATTTGTCTCATTGACAATCATAACACTGGTGGAAATTTGTCTCATTGACAATCATAACATTGGTGGAAATTTGTCTCATTGACAATCATATCACTGGTGGAAATTTGTCTCATTGACAATCATAACACTGGTGGAAATTTGTCTCATCGACAATCATAACACTGGTGGAAATTTGTCTCATCGACAATCATAACACTGGTGGAAATTTGTCTCATGGACAATCATAACACTGGTGGAAATTTGTCTCATCGACAATCATAACACTGGTGGAAATTTGTCTCACTGACAATCATAACACTGGTGGAAATTTGTCTCATTGACAATCATAACACTGGTGGAAATTTGTCTCATTGACAATCATAACACTGGTGGAAATTTGTCTCATTGACAATCATAACACTGGTGGAAATTTGTCTCATTGACAATCATATCACTGGTGGAAATTTGTCTCATTGACAATCATATCACTGGTGGAAATTTGTCTCATTGACAATCATAACACTGGTGGAAATTTGTCTCATTGACAATCATACCACATCTCTTTATTCATATTTTATTTACATTATCTTTATTAAGCTGTATTTAATCTTCCAAATGATGACACAATTATATCATTGATGTAGTGTTATAATCATGTTGAAGGCCAGAATTAAATTACTGGTAGTCAATACAAGTCACACATTATTTAGTTAAAGACAAAATTTATTTGCGCTAAAATTAATTAATCTTGAAATATGTATCTTTGATAACATAACAAGTCAATACAATTAAATCCAACTTGAACTGACGATGATGACCTAATTATCTAAATGATATTGAACTATGAAGACACCAATTACAGCTGTGTAACCTAATTATTGCCCTAAAGCAAAATTATTTGTATTGTAATTTCATACTCGCTAATGTCGCTAAACTTTACAGCCTAAAAAATCAATTACGTACAAAATTACTCTACTTGTTGTTTATTGATCATGGTATCCATAATTAATGCTACAGAGATAGTATATAGTTTGATATGGGATACAAGCTCGTCATAATTTTCTCAAATATATCCCTCTATTGATACAAAATCCAATAATATGTGTAGATTACGTGTGAATTAGTCATTATACGGTGCTGATAATAACTTATCTTTTTTTGTAAACATATATACTGTAACAGCCCATACTCCCAGTATAGAATGAGAGAAGGTCTTCTAATAAAGGCTTTTAATATAATTACAAACCATACTCATATAAAGTTTTATTTTCATTATCTTATACCATAAATCAAATGTATTTACAGAAATGATTTAGAAAAAGGATAGAAGTTTGTTGGATCTTAAAGCTACTAATGTCAAAAAGTCTTTTCAGATATCAATATTTTTTTTTTTTTTGGCATTCAGTAACTGAAATGAATTATTTTGAAAATAAAGCTTTTATTTTAGAGAGCCTTTAAACATTGACCATTTATTTAAAGACAATCCTTGATATTTCCATAAATAGACAAAAACAAAATTTACAAAACAAAATCAGGAATTTCCAGAATTCCTTGAGTAGGTGTGGGTGAAAACAGTTCAATAACATTTAGTAATTGTATTAGCTATTGCAGCAATTTCCTTAAGACATCCAGCACTGCAGTGCATGTATGTTCTCTGCCTGTGAATAATTAGCATTAAAATGTATCTTCTTGAAAAAGGGGAAGTGGATAATTTGTTTTATGTTTTGGCAGAGGACAAATACATGTATCTATATAATACATGTATTTTCATACTTAAATTAGGTGTATATATTGTCACAGTTGAAGGTTAATCTAGAAAAAAAAACATTTTATGTATACACAAAACCTTTGATATCTACCATTTCATATACATATATGGATATAACATATCAAATATGTGTATTACCCAGGATTCAACACTTGATCTATTTAGAATCCTTCATTGTAGGGTTGTTCAAGTTGACTTTTCAAGTGCATGTACTTGAGTTCTTGAGACCCATTGTGCACATTTTTAGCAAATATAATATTTTTAGTTGCATCCATCTTTACAAAATACTCACTAATAGTGATAATAAAGCTGCCCTATCTTTGATGCCACTTCTCCAATCTGCCATCTCTTCAAACCATACTTAGTATCTAATATTTGTCTGAAAAACCATTGTTTATTTAATATAAAGCAACATATAACATGTATAATACTGTCAACTGTAGATTCATTTTCAGGGATTTCATTGATAAAGGTGAACTTCGAATTATAAATGTTCAGCTAAGAACAAAAGTTATATAGGTATGTACATGTATGCAAACTTTGGCAATACTACCAAATCATTAAAATGCATTTTTTCCTTAATCCAGGAAAATATATTTAATCCACAGTATTACTCTAGTATGATAAATTGATCCACCAATTAACCTTACCAAAATACACTTATATCACCAGGTGATGAGGGTTTTGCATAATTGTAGGACATACTTAAAATAGCTTTAGAACAATGTACAAAAAAAATGTATCTCTTTTCGAAGGGATTGTATGGCTTTCAATTACCCACATGGTATCTTCCCTTAAACTTTAGAAAGAAGTACAAACAAAAGACATAAAATTTGTCAGAATATATTTTACTCCTTAGATTGTGTTTATGTTCAATCCATTGATCACCGACATAAATTTATTCATTTTTAGCTTGAAGGTGTTTCTTTTTACACACCATTCATCTGCAGATGTCAATGATGTGCAATAATGATTTTTTATCTTTCACCTAGGCAAGGATCTATAACTTTAAACCGAAAAAAAAACCCACTTATTTCAAAATTTGTTTGTGACATACACTCTTCTCCCCAACTGTTTGTTTTAACATGAATAACAGTAGATCTGGAGTATACTTTAATGAAACAACAAACCAACAAACAAAAATAAAACAAATGACATCTAATGTAGAGGTCAACATACAGTCCTCATCGATAGTTAGGTGTGACTGTCTAAACAATAGTTAAAGCTGAAACACATAAAAAAAAATAATTCTCCAAATTACGAAAAACATTAAGATATGACATACATGAAAGAAAACTACTGAAGAGATTCCTGACTTGGGACATGAACATAAAAATGTGGTGGAGTTATACTGGTTTTTAGAGATCTCTACCCTGCCCCTTTTTAATTTGAATCAACTTTTTCATGCCTTTATTGCTTATCAAAATTTCGGCACATCATGTATATGCAAACAAAATTTTTGACAGTATCAAACTTGACCACCATTTTGTCATCAGTAACTGCATATCAAAATTTTATGAGTATTGGTTGAACAATTCGTAAGTAATTGATTGGAAACAACTTAAAGCGCCATTTCTTCATCTATCAAGAACCATTAACGGGGTACTCCTGGAAAGTGAAAATCATCAATATCAAAACCATTTTTTCATCAGTAACAACATATTAAGATCTTAAAAAACCCTGGTCAAGTGCATGTGGTTCGTAAGTTATTGCATGGAAAGGACATAAAGTCCATTTTCCAATAGATCAAGGACCATACATGTAACTCCTGAACAGTAAAAGTGGAAATTGTCAATATCAAACTTGACCTCCATTTTGTCATCAGGAACAACAAATTATAATTTGAAAACCATTTGGCCTAAGTGAGCTAAAATGGATAAAAATCATCATTCAGGGGAAATATCTTCTCTCTATCTATAATAGTTTCTGCAAACAAAAATTTGTAAGGGTTCCGCAGAACCTAGTGTCTTGCCTACTTTTTCTGTTAATCGCAAGCTCAACAATAATGAGGAAGTAAATCAATAAAAACATTCCTCTTGATACTATCTTTTGATTGAAAGAAGCTTCAGTCCAAGTTTGGTAAAAATCCAGGATAGTTTATGAATTTAATAAATGTTTAAAAACTTTAACTACAGACTGAATGTAATGTTAACTGGAAGAAAACAAAATTTCCTTCTAGATACTAGCATTTGATCATAAACAAGCTTCTGTCCAAGTTTGGTACAAATCCAAAATAGTATGAGAAAGTTATTAAAATTTTAAAAACTTTAACCACAGAGTGAATATGTTGTTTCCTGGCAGAAAATCTAAATCCATTTAAAAGTAAAATAAGGAAAAAATGGATTTATTTTTTTACAAAATTTCCTTCTAGATACTAGCTTTTGATCATAAACAAGCTTCTGTCCAAATTTGGTACACATCCAAAATAGTATAAGAAAGTTATTAAAATTTTTAAAACTTTAACCACAGAGTGAATGTGTTGTTTCCTGGCAGAAAATCTAAGTCCATTTAAAAGTAAAATAAGGAAAAAATGGATTTATTTTTTTACAAAATTTACTTCTGGATACTATCTTATGATCATAAACAAGCTTCTGTCCAAGTTTGGTAGAAATCCAGGATAGTTTAAGAAAGTTATTTAAATTTCAAAAACTTTTACCACAGAGTGAATATTTGTGGACGCCGCCGCCGACGGAATGTAGGATCGTTATGTCTCGCTTTTCGACTAAAGTCGAAGGCTCGACAAAAATGTAAAAATTGAACAAAATTAGTCTTTCAAGGGCGATAACTCTTTTAATTGATGATTTGTGCATGTTGACTGATTTGTAGATTGCTATTTACAATTTCTCTCCATCAATTATAGTTTCTGCATAAAACTTGGTTAAACTAGTCTTCCAAGGGCAATAACTCCTACAAGGGGCCAATTGACAATTTGTCCATGTTTATTCATTTGTAGATCTTATTGTTCTGGTCATTTTTACTGTTTGAAATTTTGCTCTATCTGAAGTAGATTTCAAGATAATAACCAGAAACTGCTAAATTTGTAAAAATTGACATTTACAGGGGCACTAACTCAAAAATGTTTAGTCTGATTTTTCTGAAAATATTGCAGTAGATAGGCCTTGACTTGCTGGTCAATTTTAACCCATGTCTGATTGCTCTTTCCGCTGAAGTTTTTCAAATAAAAACCAAAAACATTGAATTTTACTAAAAAAATGACATTTTAGGTGGAATAACTCTGAAGTTTGTTGTCTGAGATTTCTGAAAATTTCCCAGGCAATAGACCTTGACCTGCTGGTGTTTTTTTCCCAGGTAGATTTGCTCTACCTGCATAAGTTTTTGAGATATAAGCAAAAAACTGCATTTTACCATTATGCTCTATTTTTAGCAACACGGGCAATGTTTGTTGATGGTCAAATCCCTGGATACAATTTTTAAACTACATAGAACATACCATACAGAACATTTGGGTAAAGTTTTGTAACATTTGCCCCCCCCCCCCTTTTGTGGGAAAAATTTTTGGTTGATTATATAGGAAATCACTCAAGCATGACTGGAGCGGGCCCCCTCTTAGGCTGTCAGTGGACCCCCACTTATGAAAATTTCTGGATCCGCCACTGCATGCATATGTACTATTAAAACTAAGTCCTCTATGTTTAATTTTTCACATTTATTACGAATCCATAACATATAATTGACAAAAATATTTAATTCAGTGAAAACTTTGCCTGCTAATTAGCTTTCCTGTTTTATTGCAGAAGTTACTGAACGTACCTTTAATAAACAATCAACACAGAAGCTTGGAGTGAGAAGATAGACATTCAATAGAGTGATACCTATTTTTTTCTATATTTTCCATCCGTCTTTATTTGTTAATTTGCAGTTTCTACCTATCTACATGTATTATAGTTTTCAAGAAAATAGACAAAGACGTGAAAATTAGTTAAGAAAACATCAGTTAAGGGCAATAACTCCCACAAAGAGTCATCTGATAATTTTGGTACAAACAGGAGGTAGCTAGGTAGATTTTGACATTTTGACCATTTTTTGCCCCGTCAGATCTTCTCTGTCTATTATAGTTTTTTGCCCTCATGTTCTATTTCAAGCCCCTGTGGTCTGTGTGGTGACTGGGAATAAAATCACAAACATAATACCATATACCCTCAAGACCATTCAACCCATCTTTGGTTGAGATTTATTTAATAGTTTTAGAGGAGAAATTCTTTTAAAAAGTATACAATAGACAGGTTAATATGTCAAAATTGTCTTTTTATAGATATAGGACGATGTGGTATGAGTGCCAATGAGACAACTCTCCATCCAAGTAACAATTTATAAAAGTAAACCATTATAGGTCAAGGTACGGCCTTCAACAGGGAGCATTGGCTCACACCGAACGGCAAGCTATAAAGGGCCCCAAAAATTACTAGTGTAAAACCATTCAAACGGGAAAACCAACGGTCTATATTTAAGTTATTTTCAGTTGTATAAGTATTTTTATAGATCTTGTATTTCTGATTATTTTTTCTGTTTATAGTTTCTACTTATCAATTAAAGTTTTTGAAACAATAGGCGAAAACACTAAAAGTAGACAAAAATCTGCATTTCTGGGCACTAACTCCTTCAGAGGTCATCTAATAATTAAGGGATATTCAGCATTTTTGTAGATCTTGTATTGCTGATAATTTTTGCTAATAACATTTTCTACTTATCTATTATAGATTTTGTGATGATAAGCAAAACCTTACAAAATTAGCCAAAAATTGTCATTTAAGGGCAATTACTCCTCAATGAGTTGTCTGATGATTTTAATGCAAACAGGAAGTATGTAGATTAGGTAGATCTTAACCTTCTGTGCATTTATAAGTTTGGCTGAAATTGGTGCAATAGTTTCAGAGGAGATCTTTAAAAAAAAGTGTTGGACAAAGACGACAATGGACGCAAAGTGATGGCATAAGCTCACATGACGCTTTGGGCCAGGTGAGGTAAAAAAGGATGTCTAATTCTTTGGCTGGGCAGCAGCATGTTAGCAAGACCTTACAGAGAATACAGATAAGCAACCATGGTTATGAAGAGCAAGTGTTCAATTTTACATCGTATTCTGAGGATACTTTAAATTGGACAACGAAAACAATATATATAGACATGATATACAAAACCACAAATTATCATGAAATGAACCTTTAATGAACAAGCTCACATACCCCACATTTAAAGGGCAAAAGCTTAAATTTGTATCAACCTGATGATATTTTTTTTGGATAAATTAAATAACACTTACTGTTACAATGATGATATTTTTGCTTTGAACAATCCAGAATATTCTAATTATACTGCAGAAATTTACCTAAGGCAACTTACTTTAAATACATAATATAGCAATAATTGTCCTTTTCTAGATTTGAATATTTCAGTTTCACTCCGTAAACTCTACAACAAAAGAGATGATTTTTTGTTTCCTAAATTTTCCTATTTCATTTGTATTTTGGACAGTGATGTTCTTTTGGCCCCTTCTTTCTGTGTGTATAGTTCACAACTTGTTTACCACTGTGGATTCATCTATTTTCGTGAATACCAATTTTTGTGGATTGAGGAAATCTATTCCTAGATATTTAATTTCATGGGTTTGCCAAAGTTTAATTGGATACAATTCTTTAGAAAATTGTACTTTGTGGAACATTTAAATTCTTGGTTTACCTATATATATAGCTAGCTGCCTATAGCCACGAAATACATGAAAATTGCTATCCCAGGAATTATAATGAATCCATAGTACATTTTTGTGTATGCCTGTGTCTGTAAGGACGTTTTAGATTTCAATGAATGTCATCTATGTATAAATGGTAATTATTAAGTCAGGGATTGCACAAGGTCAGGTGTTTCTCAAACGGTTTATGTCTTTACACTTAATCTGTAGAATACCTACCGAGTCAATTTAAGTACACTCTCGTATGCATGACTACCATACGACAAGGCAGACAATTTAAGTACACTCTAGCATGCATAACTACCATACAACAAGGGAGACAATTCTTACCTGTGCTGCTGCTGAAATTTCCAAAGTTTTGTATATACATCAAATGTTCTACCAAAATATGACTGCCACTGTTTATGTCCATACTGAGGGAGGTCTCTGAAAAAAAAATAGAGTAAGAGAAGATTGTGATAATAAAAAAGATGGTCTTAAATGATGAGATGAATACTTATAAATGTAGTATACAAAAAATTGTATTGTATACTGTGGCAAATACAAGTGTAACTATAAGTACTAAGATATACATGGTTTTGTTACAAAGGTAATTATTGGTATCTCTCTGGTAAAATTTATGCTTTACATGTACATGTAGTACATGCACAATGAAGAAAGGACAATCTTCAATTTCTTTGTAGTTGATAAGTTTTACAAATACAATGTATCAATGTGTTCAACTTTATTCATAAGAATCAAACTACATATATACATTATATACATGTACTTAACTCAATTCCACACACCATTTATTTCAACATCCTAGAGCAAATCCTCATTTATAGAATAAATATTTGTACCCAATGTATCTCAAACTAAAGAAACTTATCTTTGGTATGAATCTATCATTCAGTCTTAGAACATTCTTTCATATCTCAAAAGCATTTCTCATTGAAAAAATCTATTTAAAAAGTACAAATGTATTGATTTTCACTTATCAATCATTGTTGGGGCCATTCTACTGTTGGTCAATTTTCCAGTGTATGATTTTCAATTCAAAGCTCTGGCAAAGAAAGAACTCTTTCTGGAACCAACCATTCCCCCAAAAATAATTGCATATATACCCAGGGGCGTTTCTAGGATATTTGAAATAGTTATAATGGTGAAATATAATCTCTTTTTGATGTAATCATGGCAACAATCTGCATTTATTTGATACAAAATATTGCAAAAAGGGGGGTGAACATGCCACAAAAGTCTCAAAAGTTTGGTCCAAAGGAAAATTTCAATCCATATCAGAGTGATACCTTTCCTGAAACCATACACATTTATCTATCAAAAGGTCCAAACAAAATCATATGCATTTCTGCTCGTTTTTCCATAAAATTGAATTGAAAAGATCGAGGGTCAAATCTTTGTTGAAAATATTACACTAATTTCTGGACCTATGGGCGGTACGGATGTGAAAATACGGACTGTCAAACAGACAAATGGCCTATATAACATGCTAAAAACAATCTAAATGTTCATATAAACCCACTTGGAAGGCTATATTATTCTTCAACTATCTAAAAATCAATTTTATTGTACAAAAACTTTCATATTTAAAAAATTCACCATGGCCAAAATGCGAAACTAAACTTCTATAAACTGTGTATTGCTACCTTAATATGTCAAATTTAGATGTTGAAATCAAAATCAAAAGTTAGAAATCTATGCAGTATTGTGATCAATACAACACTGTCTGCATGAAAACATCAACTAATTGGGGATGTCAACTTTTGGTAGATTTTCAATCAGAGTTGAGCATGTTGAGGGGTCAAAATAGAAAAATGTGGTCAAATTTTTAAGTGAAAATTTACCTAAAATAAAAAATTTGCTTACTTCATGACCAGTTTAAAAACTAGGTAGATACAAAGAAAAATGTCACGTAAAAGGACTTTTCAGTCTTCAATTTGAAACAACTATCCCAAATCTCTCCCATCTTACATGAAAATTAAAATATTTTGTTTTTTGAAGAGAGAATAAATTGCTTTGCCGAGCGCAGCTGGATACGACCGCAGAGGACACAATATTCACGCTTGATACAGGTCTGAATTTGAATTGTAATTAAATATTTGACACATAATAGGTTTCTGACACAGAAAACTGTAGTCGAAGAACTTAGAATTGGTTATATGATTTGAATTTATATTCAATTTTTTGCTTTGAAAATTTTTTTGCAATACACTATGCTGTTGCAAATTGCCCCCCCCCCCCCCCCCCCAAAAAAAATTACCCCCTTTTTTTTTTGCTTCTGTGCAATACACTATGCTGTTGGGAATTGACCCCCCCCCCCTTTTTTTTGCTAAAAAACAAAAAATATTTGAAGAAATTTTTGTTTTAATTTCTGAAATCTGAAATGAGAAAAAAATTGTCCTCCCCTCACAATTTCTTTTTAACATCCCCCCCCCCCTTTTTTGCAAAAAAAATATTCTTTCCCTCAAGATATGGTCATAATCTCAATTCAAATTTCCAATTGAGTTTGCAACCATAATTACCCATTTATATACATCATAAAAGTCTTAAAATAGAAAATGACATACATAATCATGGCTAAAATTAATAATCCTTAATCAGCATTTTTAAATAGTAACTTCTAAAAATAAATTTACAGCTAATCACCTCAAGACAATACAACATTTCTTTATACATAATTTAAAACAGTGTAAGAGAGGTAATCCAAACATAACATTGTACTTTTTTCTAATTGTCCATTAACCAGGAAACCCTTGTTTTTCCCCCTTTTTTGCCCCTAATTCCTAAATGGTTTGAGCCATAACCCCCCAAAGCCAATCCTAACCATCCCTTTGTGGTATGGAAACTTGTGGTATAATTTCAGAGAGATCCATACACCGTTCCACAAGTTATGTCTGGAAACTAGAAAAATGCTTATTTGGGCCCCTTTTTGGCCCCTAATTCCTAAACTGTTAGGACTATGACCCCCATAATCAATCCCAACCTTCCTTTTGTGGTTATAAACCTTGTGTTTAAATTTCATTGATTTATATTTATATTTACTAAAGTTATTGTCCGGAAACCAAATGTCAAAAAATTTTTGCAGTCGTATAAAAACAGGGGGTCGTCTGTAATAAGTGCTAAACCTTCTTTCACAGGTAAATGCAACACCTGTCTTATATTAAAGGATTATGTTTTCCTACAAATTTGTATCCAAGGAACATATGATTTCAATGAAATTTGTATATCTGATTTCCAACATATTGATAAAGAAAAACAAACATGCACCAATACACCAATCTTGAGTTGTTTTTTATGAATGAGTTACACCCAATGTCATCGATGTAAACGAGGTAATTGAACAATCGGTTCTTGCTGTGACATAATAATATAAGCGTTGTGGGGTCGGTCTTTTCACCACCACACACCGCCGAACACCCAAAATGACCATTAACCCTCAAGAAAAACAGAAAAGTTACACAATAAAATAATAAAATCGATTAAATTACGTAAAATTTAACCTTTTTGTCATGTTTTTCACAATTTTATGTGCATTAGTGATGTTAAAGTTGAGAATCAAAATTAAAAAAAAACGCTTCCAGATCCAGCAATATTTTTTCAGGATTTACATTGTCTGTATTTCATTGTATATTACAAAATGTATCTTATGGTCTTTATTTTTCAATTATTAGAAATAAATTGTTCAAACTAGATATCAGAGATGGGAGCCATCTCTGTGGGCCCCGCTGTGAATAATGTGTGGTAAAAAATTTGTATCTTTATCATTGGACATGGGGTTGTCAACTGAAACCGAAGTTTATGACCTTGACCTTTAACCTAGGAAGTTGTACATACATTATGACACACCCTCTGGTGTTGGTTTATATACATGTCAAGTATAAACATTGAAATCATAACGGTTCTCAAGATATAGAGCGGACAAGATCTTTACCATAGGACATGAGGTTGTTAACTAAAACCAAAGTTTTTGACCTTGACCTTTGACCTAGGAAGTTGTACATACATTATGACACACCCTCTGGTGTTGTTTTATATACATGTCAAGTATAAACTTTGAAATGATAACGGTTCTCAAGATATAGAGGGGACACAATTTGTTCAGGATGGACGGACAGACAGACTGATCACTATAGGGCGTCTGCCATTCGGCACGGCTCTAATAAGTTAAAACATTTTATTTGATGTTAAATTATCACAATAATTATATTTAAAAAGATGTTAGACTTGAAAGTGTACTGTTCTGACAACAGCCCTGCAAGACTGTTCTTTTTGGTTCTCTTGTTATCATTTCTTATTAATTTGTGTATATAAATGTATAAACATATTCATCCTCGTTCAGAAGGTAAGTCAAATATATAAATCAGTGTTCTAGCTATGTCGTTTTCACAGGGCGGTCTGCCCGCCCTTTCCAGAGTACCGCCCTGTGCCCTTTTTAAGACGCCCTGCCCTTTATCGTAAGTCCATGCCTTTATTGCCTTAATATTTTGATGAAAATACAATTATTCTACCTGTCTTCATATTTATGACAAGTTTATGACCCTCAGCTAAATAACATTTACAGCAGGTGTAATAAGTTGTGATTACAGCTAATCCGCTTATCGACATCGGATGGGTCATTAATCTGTTAATTAAACTTCATAATTGACTATTGTAATAATCATTAAATTCGGTCAGTCAGTATTTCAATTTCAATATTTCTCAAAAGATGACAATTTGCATTAGATGTATCCGTAGATCGTCTGTTGTTATGTCAAAGTTTTTTTTTAATTGATCTTTTAAACTAGTTTTAATCCAGAATAAAGTAAAAACAATGCTTGACTGTACCTTTCATTGAATATCTATATCCAAATTAATTAATTAAAGCTGTAATCCATGATCACAAATTGACTGCTTTGTTTACATTTGTTGGAAGCCGTGTGCTTTTTTGGCGGGAAAATTCAGAAAAACTCTTAAACAAGAAACAGTTACATTTCATTGTTATTTATAGACAGTAAGATTTTCATTTTGATTAAATTAGTAAAAATACCCTGGTAGGGCCTTAAAATTTCTACTGGGCCCTTGAAAAAAAGTTTTGGGCCCATCAAAACTCCTAGCTGAAACCCCTGCAGTTAACATGAGACCAGCCTTCGCGATAAACTTTTGAGTCCACAAGCCCGAAGCTCAATTTTTTGAAAATTTTAGTTGGATTCTGTTGGCTTGTAGAGAAGAATTTTACAAGCCTGAAAACAATTTTACAAGCCAGGGCCGTAGGACTTGTGGTTAAGCGTGAAGACTGTGAGACAATGTTTGACATGCCCTTTTTGAAATATCAATCATTGTACTAAAGTGCTCTTTTCATGATTGGCTACCTGCCCTTTTGAAATCCTAGCTGGAACACTGTAAATAAAGATGAAAACAATATATCTAGGTGTGTTAGATGGTATTTTAATGTGTTCAGTGGTGTTCGGCAGTGTGCGGTGGTGTTCGGTGGTGAAAAGACCTACTGAGCGTTGTGACATGGGAAATTTACGGAAAAGTGCATAAACTCCAAAGTCGTCTATAACCTTTCTTCTTCAGTAACTGAAAATCATCAACACACTGATATTTTCTTTCCTTTGATGGCTCTTTCAAGTAGTACCTGCTTTATATTTAACATATTATATAAAGATCTGTTGATGCAAAATGTTTTACCGAATTACATATTAATGCACAGCTTGTCATGCTTCTGAGTTTGGAAAATTCAGATGCTAGTGTCAGAAATATTTATTCATGCAAACATCTTTAGAAAGTAATTGTTTTTTAAGGAAACATGTGCACAACACAAAAATACCTAAGGCCATTGAATAACTGTTTAGATTTCTCAAGAAGGTGACAAAACTCATTCACAATTTTCTTTTCATTCTCATCCATAGTCGGCACCAAGTCAGTGGCCGACATTTTGATGTTTGTGTGGTTACATTATCAGAAGTTACAGATTTTTATTACAAATCATATTTGATATATTGTATCATAAACGAAATCTATAATAGTTATTATATTTTATTATTTTACTTTCTTATGGTATAATCCTACAATCAAATACATCAACATAAAAATATTGTTTTGTTAGAGATTAACTCTTTATCGCCGACGCGTTTTAAAGTCTCCGTAATATATAATCTATGATGAGCAACAATATTGACATTGAACGAATAAAATTGCACCACAAATCCAATCAAGGCAAACAGTGAGAAGACGCACGTTTGTCGTTTTCCCTGATAAAAATTAAGTGATTTGCCACAGATTCCAATATATCAGACACGTAAGGATCTAGACGAATTACTGACAACTCGCATACACTTTCAACAAACTTGCCACACATCTACAAACTTGACCCACTGACGAAAAAGAGTTTGATAGCATAGACCAGGGGAATTCTTGTCACTTCGGCACCTGGTCAGATCGGCACCCGGTATAATCATTTCGGCACTTAGTCAAAATGAGACCTGGTTTATTGGGCTTTTCCCTATTTTTTGTCCTCTTTGCGACGCGTTGCAGGGGACATAGAAATACCAGGTGTCCGTCGGTCTGTGCACCCATCCATCCGGTCTTGTTAATGTGTACAATTCTTGCCAGATTTTAATGAAACTTATATCATAGGTTTATATCAGCAATGTCTTGGACGAGTTCTAAAATCAGTCCTTATCAATTATTTTTGAAAGAGTTATGCCCCTTGGAAACATTAATTATATGGCAAATTGCATTGTTAGCGCTCTCATGTGTTCAATTTTATGCCAGATTTTTATGAAACTTATATCATAGGTTTATATCAGCAATGTCTTGGAGGAGTTCGAAAATCAGTGATGATCAATTTTTTTTTAAAGAGTTATGCCCCTTGGAAACATTTATTATATGGAAATTTGCATTGTTAGCTCTCATTTATTCAATTCTTGCCAGATATTTATTAAACTTATAAAATAGGTTCATAGTAGCAATAATTGGACGAGTTCGAAAATCAGTGCCAATCAATTATTTTTAAAAGCATTATGCCCCTTGGAAACATTAATTATATGGAAATTTGCATTGTTAGAGCTCTCATGTGTTCAATTCTTGCCAGATTTTATGAAACTTATATCGTAGGTTTATATCAGCAATGTCTTTGACCAGTTAGAAAATCAGTGACAATCAATTATTTTGAAAAGAGTAATGCCCCTTGGAATTATTGATTTTACGGAAAATTGCATTGTTAGCACTCTAATGTGTACAATTCTTGCCAGAACTTTATGAAGCTTATATCATAGGTTTATATCAGTAATGTCTTTGACACTTTCGAAAGTAAGTTCTGATCAAAAATTTTAATGAGTTGTGCCCTTGGAAATATTAATTATAATGGAAATCACATTGCATTTGCTCTGAAGCCTTCATTTCTTTAAGATATTAATAAAAAGTATTATAGAACAAAAAAAAAGTTCTTTTTATGCCCCCGCCATAGCAGAGGGGGCATTAAGTTTTACCCTTGTCCATCTGTACTTGCGTCCCAAAATTGGTTTCCGTTCTCTAACTTTAGTTTGCCTCAACCAATTGTTCTAAAACTTATACAGAATGCTTATTACCACAAAACACAGATCAAGTTTGAATATTGGTAGCGTCCTTTTCTCAGTTCTAGAGTTATGCCCCTTTACAAATGGAAAAATTGCTGAATTTTTTCGTTTCCATCTCTCACTTTAGTTTGCCTCAACCAAATGTTATGAAACTTATACACAATGCTTATAACCACTAAACACAGATCAAGTTTGAATTTTGGTGGCATCACTTATACCCTTTTAGAGTTATGCCCCTTCACAAATGGAAAAATTGCTAAAATATTTGTTTCTGTTCTCTTACTTTAGTTTGCCTCAATCAAATGGTATGAAACTTATGTACAATGCTAATCTTGATTAATTAATTTATTAAGAAAAAATTAATTCATTAAGAAAAAATTCACACACCTAATTAAATGGGCATTTAAAAAGTCAGAATGTGAATATATATGTTCAAACTCTTTTAGGTCATTTTTTAGTAGCAATAAACAAAAAAACTATGTCAATTGGACATGCTTTGATACTATATATGCCCTTGAATTTTTACTAGATAACATTTTTGTTCGCTTTGGAGATTCCGTATATCGTCAGGTTATCGGAATTCCAATGGGGACTTACTGTGCACCACTTATTGCGGACCTTTTTTTGTATTGCTATGAGTTACAATTTATGACAATAATTAGCAAAGACCCATCGAAACAACATCTGATACACATATTTAATAATACTTTTAGATATTTGGATGATATTTTGGCTCTCAATAATGACGACTTCAGTATGTATACTAAAGAAATTTATCCTGTTGAACTTACTTTAAATAAAGCTAATACTAACAATGACCACTGCCCTTTCCTCGATCTTGATATCTATATCATTAACGGAAAGCTTAATACTAAAAGATATGATAAAAGAGATGATTTTTCATTTCCTATCGTTAATTATCCATTTTTAGATGGTGACGTTCCCTTGTCACCATCTTACGGTGTTTATATATCTCAACTTGTACGATTCGCTCGTGTATGTAACAATGTTTTAGATTTTAACGAGAAAAATTTATGTATTACTGAAAAATTATTACACCAGGGTTTTCGATAATACAAACTAGGCAAAACATTTACTAAATTTTATCATCGGTATAAGGACATCATTCGTAAATATAACTCAACATGCAGACTTCTTATACGTTCAGGTATTTCACATCCAATTTTTTATGGAAATATTCTTTATAAAGCACAAAAATGTCAGTATTCACCTCTGAAGCTAACAAAACCTTTAAATATACTTATTAAGAAGGGATATAGTTACGATACTGTTGTCAGGTCATTAAAGATTGCATATTTTGGCGTTAATATTGATTCACTTATAGGGTCTTTGCATCGGCACTAAACACATTTATTTAAAAACCAGTTGTTGGAATGACACCGGTTATGTTCTTCTCATATATGTTATGATGGTATGATACTAAACCCCTAACAGGAAGGATTGTGCCTGATATTCATATGATGAAGACATAATCTTTCAATCAGTTTAATTGAAGTCTGGAGCTGGCATGTCAGTTAACTGCTAGTAGTCTGTTGTTATTTATGTATTATTGTCATTTTGTTTATTTTCTTTGGTTACATCTTCTGACATCAGACTCGGACTTCTCTTGAACTGAATTTTAATGTGCGTATTGTTATGCGTTTACTTTTCTACATTGGCTAGAGGTATAGGGGGAGGGTTGAGATCTCATAAACATGTTTAACCCTGCCGCATTTTTGCGCCTGTCCCAAGTCAGGAGCCTCTAGCCTTTGTTAGTCTTGTATTATTTTTAATTTTAGTTTCTTGTGTACAATTTGGAGTTTAGTATGGCGCTCATTATCACTGAACTAGTATATTTATTTGTTTAGGGGCAAGCAGAAGGACGCCTCCGGGTGCGGGAATTTCTCGCTGCATTGAAGACCTGTTGGTGACCTTCTGCTGTTGTCTGTTCTATGGTCGGGTTGTTGTCTCTTTGACACATTCCCCATTTCCATTCTCAATTTTAATTACCACAAAGCACTGATCAAGTTCGAATTTTGGTGGCGTCACTTTTACTGTTCTAGAGTAATGCCCCTTTACAAATGGAAAAAATTGCTGAATTTTTTGTTTCCGTTCTCTCATGTATGAAACTTATACACAATGCTTATTACCACAAAACACAGATCAAGTACAAATTTGGGTAGCGTCACTTTTACATTTCTTGAGTTATGTCTCTTTATAACTTAATATGCATGCGGGGGCATCATTTGTGTCCCATGGACACATTCCCCATTTATTTTATATATTGCCCTTGTACTTTGGATAGATTAAGTATGTGCTATGCGGAGGACTTTGGAATTCTGTTCTTTTATTAAGATATTTACGCTTGAGGTGCCGTCAATGTTCATGTATATATTTGTGACGCGTGTAAGTTACGCACTATATTCGGTCTATTTGCCATTTGACCCTTTCTTGATGCATAACTAGGATTAAAGTAAGTCAAATCTTAAACATTTTTATGCCCCTGCCGTAGTGGAGGGGGCATTAAGTTTTGCCCTTGTCTGTCTGTACGTCCGTCCGTCCATACATCCCAAAGTTGGTTTCTGTTCTCTAACTTTAGTTTGCCTCAACCAAATGTTATGAAACTTATACACAATGCTTATTACCACAAAACACAGATCAAGTTTGAATTATGGTGGTGTCACTTTAACCCTTCTAGAGAAGTGCCCCTTTACAAATGGAAAAATTGCCAGATTTTCGTTTCCGTTCTCTAACTTCAGTTTGCCTCAACCAAATGTTATGAAACTTATACACAATGCTTATTACCACAAAATACAGATCAAGTTTGAATTTTGGTGGTGTCACTTCAACCGTTCTAGAGTTATGCCCCTTTTCAAAGGGAAAAATTGCTGACTATTTCGTTTCTGTTCTCTAACTTTAGTTTGCCTCAACCAATTGCTATGAAACTTATACACAATGCTTGTTACCACAAAACAAGATCAAGTTTGAATTATGGTGGTGTCACTATAACCGTTCTAGAGTTATGTCCCTTTATGAATGGAAAAATTGCGGAATTTTTCGTTTCCGTTCTCTAACTTGTTTGCCTCAACCAAATTTTATGAAACTTATACACAATACTTATTACCACAAAACTCAGATCAAGTTTAAATTTTGGTAGGGTCACTTTTATTGTTCTTCAGTTATGTCCCTTTATAATTTTATATGATATGCAAGCGGGGGCATCATCTGTGTCCCATGGACACATTCCACATTTATTTTGTCTCGCATTGAAGTGTTCAAAAAGCAAGACTTAGTTAGGTATGTTGTTTCCAGCATCGACGGAGTCAACAATGTATTCGTTTGTAATTAAGTCAGTTTGTGGAGAACCACTAGTGGTAGGTCAATGATATTTGGTATGCAGTTGTATAAGCATTTGCACAACTCATTTCCATGGAGATTATTTGGCCCCCTCCGCCTCAGCCATGGTCTATTGACTTTGAAACTTTTGCTTACTAGACATGTATTTGTTTGTGATTAGGTCAGTTTAAGAGGAACCACTAGTAGTAGGTCAATGATATTTGGTATGTAGAAGCAATAGCAATGGCACATCTCATTTCCATGGAAATTATATGGCGCTGCCCCCTCAGTCATGGTCTATTGACTTTGAAACTTTTGCTTACTTTACATGTATTACTTGGTGACAAGGTCAGTTTAAGGGAAACCACTAGTGGTAGGTCAATGATATTTGGTATGTATATATATATCTTTATTCTCGTAAACCAAAGTACAATGGTACAGAGACATATACAAATAAATTAACATACATAGTATCAATTTTAGATACAAATGTAAAGTAGAGACATAAAGGAGTTACCCAGGAGATTCTAGGCATTTTATAATAATTCTTATAAACTTACACAGATTGTTTAGTTCAGAAGGGTTGTAGCTATTCATTAGACCTTGAAATTTTAAAATATTTGGTCTGTTTACAAAATGATGCTTTAGTAGCATTTGTCTACTTTCGTCTATTGCCGAACATTCTAAAATATAATGGAACTCGTCGCCAATATCACCGGAATTGCACTAAGTACAAATACGATTTTCTCTCTGAATATTTTGCCATCTACCAATTTCGATAGGAATTTTTGTGTTCAAAGTTCTAAATCTACAAAAAGAAGCATTAGCATTGGCACATCTCATTTCCATTGAAATGTTTTGGCTCTGCCCCCTCAGTCATGGTCTATTGACTTTGATTGTTTGCATAGTTTACATGTTAAGTTTGTGATTGTGACCAGTTTAAGAGGAGCTGCTAATGGTAAGTCAATGATATTTGGTATGCAATTGTATTAGCATTTGCAAGTCTCTTTTCCGTGGTGATTATATGGAACCACTCCCTCAACATGGTTCATTGAATATTTAAAACTTTTACATTGTTTACAAATTAAAAAAAGTTTGTGTTTAGGTTATTTTAAAAGGAACCCCTTATGATATGTCAGTAGTATTTGGTATGTAGTTTTATAAGCATTGACATTTCTCATTTCCATTTGGGTTATTTGGTCCTGCACCATAAATCATGGTCCATTGACTTTGAATGTTTTGCATAGTTTACAAGTTTAAATATTGCCATTTGGATTCAATATTTGCATTAAACTATCAAAATTACAAAAAGGCAAGACATATCTCTGTGTCAATTTTGATACTTGTACATTATTTAGGAACATTTGTAATTCAACAATATTCAGTTGTCTATATAACATGTATAATATGTCAAGCTCTTAATAACTACCATTTCCCAAAAACTAAGAAAGATATGTTAACATTTGATTTTTTTGCTATCTTTGAAGTATGCTTTAAATCTCGTTTTGTCAATAGCAAGTAGAACAGGCACAGAAAAAACATCTCTTCTACACAAAAAATGAAAATAAAAGGAATATTCATGTATTTGAAATATAAATGATTTATTTTTGCAGACTTAATAGAAATGCAAAATCAGCTTCCTCAATTAGTGGCAGATGCTGTTTTGGTCAAAAGTGAAGCTATGCCTGAATGCTCAGAAACAGTGAAAGGTTATGATTTCAACAATGGTGTCAATTACCATGAGTTATTGGAATCTTATAAGAGATGTGGATTTCAGGCCACTAATTTTGGAAAAGCTGTAGAGGAAATAAATAAAATGGTTTGTACTTTTAGAGTTGTGACTTCTAAGTGTTGATAAAAACAAATTTTATACAAAATATTGACCATTACTGTTTGTGTAAAAAAAGGGAAGAAAAACAATTGATAAACTGACAGGCTGAGCCAGACTTTTAACGTGTTCACAAGGTTCTCAGGAAGTCTTTTCAACTTACAGGGCCATATTATTCTGACTCTTGAGTCGACCAGTCTTTTCTCTTTCTCCTAAATGCTGATAACTTTGGTGAGAAACAGCAAATACTGATTTTCAAGTCTGTAGTTTGACCTGTCTTTGGAACAAACCAACAACCGCGAGCACATTACCATGAGACCATAGAGGCAGTCCCTCATAAAGATATACTGCATCATAATCTTACTATTAGCATGATTAGTAAATCAAGGAACAATTGAATGTTTGCATTAGGATCAAATGGATAGATATTGAAGTAGTAAGTTAGATTTGTTTCTAGACTGATAATGAAATGGACTAAATGTACTTAAGTACAATAATAGAACAAATCATGTTCCATAACTGAAAAATTATTCTATGAGGAACAATTCTATAAGTCTGTTTTTGCATAGCATTTGATATAGTTTCTTACTTTTGATTGATGAAATATTTAAGGAATTTGTTCCAAAATTTTACCTGTATCTTCCTTCAGATTGATAAAAAGATGGAAGGAATACCTAAAGAGAAGAAGGAAGACTATTATGATAACCCCTGTAACAGACAGAGAAGTAACTGTAGTATTTTTCTTGGCTTTACCTCCAACATGATTTCTACTGGTGTTCGTGAGATGCTTAGGTACCTTGCAGAACATAATATGGTTAGTACATGTATGTTGTAGAGAAAATCTACATACTAGGCATTTCTTAACTCTACTATTGCTTACAGCTTCTACTGTCATGTTAGGAAAATAATGTTAATTGTTTTTCAATTTTCACTAATTTATACTCTTTAAAAAACTGAGGTTGCTTTCATTACTTATTATCTGCTAAACGTTATGGTCTTTCAATCTTTCAAGTTTGTGAGGCTTATTTGTCTTTTTTAATACCATCATAACAGAAAAATCAGATAAAAGCAAGGAAATTTGTAGTTTATATGATAGAATTTTTATCAATTAAAGAACTGAGAACAAGCAAACCAGATTTTGTTCAATTAACAAAAAAGTTTAATAGGTTGGAAAAAACTAAATCGATAGAAAATTCTTTTCGATTCTTTTTGAACTATTGAATATATTTTCAAATAACCATAGATGGTCTGACTTTCAATCAAAACATATGTATGACAACATCAGAGGTGCTGACCTTTTCCAATCTATCCCCTAAGAAATTAGTTATAGATGCAATAACTTGACATTAAATAGAAGCTTCCACCATTGATGAATTCCATTTAAAAGTTTGAATGCATGTTATTGAAAGGTGTCTTTAAATTAAACTTTTAAAGTAACAGGCCAAATCATACAAATTGGTATATTTGTATGTAAGCTGCATTAAAAACTCTAACATGTACATCAGTTAGAAATTATGACTGTTTATATGCCCCCGTCGTAGCGGAGGGGGCATTAAGTTTTACCCTTGTATGTCTGTACGTTCCAAAATTGGTTTCCGTTCTCTAACTTAAGTTTGCCTCAACCAGATGTTATGAAACTTATACACAATGCTTATTACCACAAAATACAGATCAAGTTTGAATTTTGGTGGCGTCACTTTTACTTTTCAAGAGTGATGCCCCTTTACAAATGGAAAAATTACTGAATTTTTCGTTTCCATTCGCTAACTTAAGTTTGCCTCAACCGCATGTTATAAAACCTTTACTTAATGCTTATTACCACAAAATACAGATCAAGTTGAATTTTGGAGGTGTCACTTTAACTGTTCTAGAGTTATGCCCCTTTACAAATGGAAAAATTGCTGAATTTTTCGTGTCCGCTCTCTAACTTAAGTTTGACTTAACCAATATTTTATGAAACTTATACACAATACTTATTACCACAAAACTCAGATCAAGTACAAATTTGGGTAGCGTCACTTTTACTTTTCTTCAGTTATGTCCCTTTATAATTTTATATGATATGCAAGCGAGTCCATTTCCCCATTTATTTTTCTTTGTGCTTGAAGATATTGATTTGATATATATTTGGTGTATTGTTTTATCATGACAAGTTAAAGATCAAGTCCGAATTTTGTTCTGGTCTGATGATTTTGTGCAGAGTTATGGTCCTTGGACAGAAAATCCACTTAAATAATCAGTTTTCCACACTTTTTTTCGTCATACTGGAAGATATTGATTTGATAATTGGTATATAGTTTTATCATGACAAGTTACAGATCAAGTTCCAATTTTGTTCCGGTGTGATGATTTTGTGCAGAGTTATGGTCCTTGGACTTAGAAAATTTACTCAAATAATCAGTTTTTCTCATGTTTTTTTCGTCATGCTTGAAGATATTGATTTGATAATTGATATATAGTTTTATAATGACAAGTTACAGATCAAGTTCGAAATTTGTTCCGGTGTGATGATTTTGTTCAGAATTATGGTCCTTTGACTTTGAAAATTCACTTAAATAATCAGTTTTCCTCACTTTTTTATAAGACCGCAAACAATTTTGCGGTCGTATATTGGTATCACGTCAACGGCGGCAGCGTCATCAGCTTACATCATAACTTTAGTAAATGTAAATAGAAATCTATGAAATTTAAACACAAGGTTTATAACCACAAAAGGAAGGTTGGGATTGATTTTGGGGTTTTTAGTCCTAACAGTTAAGGAATTAGGGGCCAAAAAGGGGCCCAAATAAGCATTTTTCTAGTTTCCAGACAATAACTTGTGGAACGGTGTATGGATCTCTCTGAATTTATACCACAAGTTTACATACCACAAAGTGATGGTTAGGATTGGCCTTGGGGGGGGAGGGGGGGGGGTTATGGCTCAAACTGTTTAAGAATTAGGGGCAAAAAAGGGGCAAAAACAAGGGTTTCCTGGTTAATGGACAATTAAAAAAGTACAATGTTAAGTTTGGATTACCTCCCTTACACTGCTTTTAAATTATGTATAAAGAAATGTTGTATTGTCTTGAGGCGATTAGCTGTCAATTTATTTTTAGAAGTTACTATTTAAAAATGCTGATTAAGGAATATTTAATATATTAATCTTAGCCATGATTATGTATGTCATTTTCTATTTTAGGACTTTTATGATGTATTTAAATGGGTAATTATGGTTGCAAACTCCATTGGAAATTTGAAATTGAGAAATTAAAAAGAAAATTTCTTCAAATATTTTTTTTTGAAAAAAAGGGGGGGGGTAAAATTTTTTGTTTTTTGTTTTTTTGGAAGGGAGGTCAATTCACAACAGCATAGTGTACTGCACAAAAGCAAAAATTTGAAAATATATTTAAATCATATAACCAATTCTAAGTTCTTTGACTACAGTTATTCTGTGTCAGAAACCTAAAATGTGTCAAATATTTAATTACAATCCAAATTCAGACCTATATCAAGTGCGAATATTGTGTCCTTTTTTGCCCCAACTGTTCAGGGTTGGATCTCTGCGGTCGTATCCAGCTGCGCTCGGCGAAGCAATTTATTTGGTCATGCTTAAAGATATTGATTTGATAATTGGTATATAGTTTTATAATGACAAGTTACAGATCAATTTCGAATTTTGTTCCACTGTGATGATTTTGTGCAGAGTTATGGTCCTTGGACTTCGAAAATTCACTTAAATAACCAGTTTTCGTCATGCTTGAAGATATAGACTTGATATTTATTTAATAGTTTACACCATGACAAGTTATAGATCAAGTTAGCATTTTGTTCCAGTACAATGAATTTTAACCGGTAGGGGACTATGTATTGCCATGCAGTACTCTCAGAATGCTTGTTTTTTTTTATACACCCGTTTACGGGACGTATTATGGTATACCTCTGTCCGTCTGTCTGTCCATCGTCAACATGTCGGACATTAACTCAAAAATGCTTTAACCAATTTGCATAAAACTTTGGTGAATTGTTTATATCTATTGACATGAGCTCCCTTTCGTTTTTTAAAAAATTTAGATTTTACGTTTCCAAGTTATCGGGTTTTATTCATTTAAAAAAGGGGGATTTTCCAGTTTTCGGACAATAAGTCAAGAATAGATTCACCAACTTGCAAGAAATTGTGGTGAATTGTTTATATCTATTGACATGAGCTCTGTTTTGATTTTTATAAATTTTAGATTTTACGTTTCCGAGTTACAGTTTTTTATTCATAAAAAAAGGGGGGATTTTCCAGTTTTCGGACAAAAACTCAAAAAAATGATGCAGCAATTCTTATGAAACTTTGGTGAATTGTTTGTATGTATTGATGTAAGCTCCCTTTAGAATTTTATAAATTTTACATTTTACATTTCTGAGTTGTGGGGTTTTATTCATTACAAAAAGGGGTGATTTTCCAGTTTTCAGACAATAACTCAAAAATTCTGTCACCAATTCTCATGAAACTTTGATGAATTGTTTATATCTATTGATGTAAGCTCCCTTTTTATTTTCATAAATTTCTAATATGACATTGAGAATTAATTGAACTTTATTTGTTTATAGTCTGACAACAGATTTACTAAGTATTGCACAACAGCAAGCAATCTTTAATTGAATATAAATTCAATTCATATAACCAATTACAAGTTCTTTGACTACATTTATTCAGAAACCATTAATATGTCAAATATTTAATTACAATCCAAATTCAGACCTGAATCAAGCTTGAATATTGTGTCCATTTTTGCCCCAACTGTTCAGGGTTGGACCTCTGCGGGCGTATCTAGCTGCGCTCAGCGAAGCAGTTTATTACTTAGGGCTATTACTGGTATATACATCATAATAACAAAAAGAGGGATTAACATGATATTTTCATATAGGTTGTCTTCTACACAACTGTCGATTTTATGTTCTCTGTGTGTTAGTTTTTGTATTTCTTTATGTCACTGTCTACAAATACTGTGAACAACTTGTTTTCTCAGATACTTTATTTCAACTTTAACCCTTTTCAGCCGACTTCCCTGGGATTTATAGTCACAGTTTTCTAATTTTCTTGATGTATTTATACAAAAGAAGAACAAAGTCAGTGGCGTAGCTAGAATAAACTGATGTGCATGCCAATCTACTGGCGAGCGGAGCGAGGCGAAAATTTTATTGGACCATTTTATGCAGAAAATGATATTTTTCAGTTTTTGGTCATAGAAGGGTTAAATTTGTGCTACATAGGACTTATAGACATTTCATGAATGCAAAACTATGCAGAATTCTTTCGAATAGGGTAAATCATGGTAAATTGAATGCATAAGCAACACATTTTTGTGAGACAGAATTTACTCAAAATTGTCCAAATCTGCACTTCGGGTCTTAGCAGAAACGAACTTCTCCATTACTTTTGTTAATATTCAAACTGAAATCCGGATGAATAGCATTAATAACCTATCGTTATTCATGGTTGATCCTACATATGTTTTCAACCGACGTAGTAAGTACACTGAACGATCTCTCCGCGGTAGCACTTGTTACATGTACCAGCATTGTCAACATAATACTCAAAATAGTATCTACAGAAGTATACAACACTGGGCTTACCGCATTGAGTGTTTCACACAGTGAAGTTGGCATCTGATTGTGAGGTGTTATACACCAGCGTGTTCGCCATCGAGCGACCTCCCGATTGAATTCGTCTAAATTACATGCCAGGTCAGTCTCGTATGTCTCGAACAATGTTGCGATTTGTTCGTTGGTTATATTTTCAATAACACGAGGAAGCAGATACTGCTCAGAGAAGCGATTTTCTGATGATATCTGCGTAAAGTTAGTCAACATTCCCCCCACCCCCGTTTTTAGGGTTTAAACGTTGTAATTTACACAATCTATACTATAGTATAATAATAATTTGGGTCTGTTATTAACAATTTAATTTAGGATGTGTGTACTTTTCCAAATTGACTGTTTTTCAGGGTAGGGATTTACTTTTAATTTTTTTGCCGGTATCCTTTTGACTCAGACATGATTTCTACTATTGAATTGGACACAATTTTAAAGTCATTTCGTCATACCCCATCAAATCCAAAGAGTTACCCCTGGCATATGCTATTCCATGATTTTGGGAAACGTTTTACACACTTAAAGTGACTTGGAAGAATTAAAATCAACATAGCTCGCCGGGAAGTCAAAATTATTTACATCTTTCCAGTTGGATGTTAGTAATTGCATTTTAACTTCTGTCATCTGCAAATTGGAATACGGCAAGGATTGTTGGGAAATGGGTTCTTCTGAAGAACTTTTTGTTTCTATTGAAACGGGTTTAGTTAAAAAATAAACTGTCAATAGTTTTCCATTTAGCCTTTTCACCTTTTTTTGCTACGTTTCGACGTCATGTCGTGTCAACGCCGGAAATTTTATGTGCCCTTTTTTTTCAGCATGCCGATGTGCACGCAACTGTGTGTTGGCGTATAGGGAGCTACGTGCCTGAAAGTGTTATAAATTGGCAACAATTTATTTTAGCGTTATTTTTCTACTAACCAATGTTGCAAAAATTAGTGGGTTTACAATAAATGAGTACAATATTTTAAGCTATATCATGTCATTACAAATACTTATTATTTTGTCAGGTTGATTGTATAGTTACAACAGCAGGTGGTATAGAGGAAGACTTCATCAAATGTTTAGCTCCAACTTATCTTGGTGATTTCAACAAGTATAAAGGAGGAGATCTTAGAGACAGAGGAATAAATAGAATTGGCAACTTATTAGTACCTAATGACAACTACTGTAAATTTGAAGACTGGTTGATGCCAATTTTAGATAAAATGCTGGAGGAACAAAAATCAGAGGTCAGTTTGTTAAGAATTTGTTGAATGAAAAATTAAAAGTAATATTTTACTTTGCAAATAAATAATTTGTTCTTCAACATCTGTTAGCAGTCAGATATAACTATGTTTTTCTTATGAAAAAAAAAATTAGAATAAAACATTTATTTTATATCTTAGATGACCTAGAAGGATGGGCATATGCCATTGCTTGGCACCCACTGATCTGAGTAACTACTAAACTACAAACTAAAGCTAGTTCAAAACCAATTACAACTAATAAATAAATCATGCTCTCCCATGTCAATATGTATATAAGTTAGGCTTATTAGTCCCCTACCGATGAATTCAAAGGGGACTTTAGGTTTGCACTCTGTCTCCTGTCTGTCTGTCTGTCCATCTGTCAGTCCGGCTAAACAGTTTTCCACACTTATTTTCGTCATGCTTGAAGATATTGATTTGATATTTGGTATATAGTTTTATCATGACAAATTACAGATCAAGTTTGAATTTTGTTCCAATCTGATGTAGAGTTATGGTCCTTGGACTTAGAAAATTCACTGAAATATTCATTTTTCCGCACTTTTTTTCGTCATGCATGATGATATTGATTTGATAAATGGTATAAAGTTTTATCATAACAATTAAGTTACAGATCAAGTTAAATTTTATTCTGGTTTGATGATTTTGTGCAGAGTTATGGTCCTTGGACTTAGAAATTCACTCAAAGAATAGTTTTCCACACTTTATCTGTCATACTTGAAGATATTGACCTGATATTTGTTATATAGTTTACACCATGACAAGTTGTAGATTAAGTTAGCATTTTCTTCCAGTACAATGAATTCTTAACTGGTAGGGGACTATGTATTGCCATGCAATACTCTCAGAATGCTTGTTTAAATATTTTGGAGATAATAGCAGTAAAATAGAGAAATTCTTTCAGGGCACTCATTGGACTCCATCTAAAGTAATTGACAGACTAGGGAAAGAGATTGATAATCCAGAATCTGTTTATTACTGGACACACAAGGTCAGTATCATATGGAATACACAATTTTGGTTGTGTGTGAAAATTTGATGAAACACTATTTTTGGAATTATTAATATTGATAATATTACTTTTAGTATTGCTAGATATGAAACATCAATTGGCCGAAAAATAATCAAAATTGAGATTTTCATGATATGACTGCACAATGATGACATCATTAGTGATGATATATGTCTGAGTTTGTTGATTATGCATTTATTTTTACCTAATTTTTCACCAAAATTTTTTGAAATTTACTGAACTTACATTAAATAAAATTTTCGGGCCAATATTGACCCTTTATGAATGAACTCCTTTGAATAAGGATGTATTATTTGATTGCGTCTTTAGTTTTAGCCATATCTGCCAGATGGTAGAATGTAGTTTGCCATTAATAAGTTTATACAAATATATTATTGATTTTATAAAATATTTATTCTTTAGAACAACATTCCAGTTTTCTGTCCAGCTTTAACAGATGGATCATTGGGTGACATGATTTATTTCCATTCCTACAAAAATCCAGGACTTGTCATAGATCTAGTTGAAGGTAGGTCTATAAAAACCCATGACTTGACAGGACAAGGTAAGGGTATGTATTTAAAATTAAAGAAAATAAGAACCACTTGAATATTTTAGTATTAAACTTGGTTTGAGAGGCAGACTGAATGTTTCTTTAAGAAGCTGATGAACACTGTTAAACATTAACCCATAGAGACAACTAAAATTGAACAGACTGTTATCATTTCATTTATTTTTGAAGGTAACAATTTTTATACGACCGCAAAAAAATTTTGTGGTCGTATATTGGTATGACGTTGGCGTCGTCGTCGTCGTCGTCGTCGTCGTCGTCGTCGTCGTCGTCCGGCGTCGTCGTCCGAATACATATTGGTTTTCGCACTCTAACTTTAGTTTAAGTGAATGGATCTTTTTGAAATTTGACCATAAGGTTAAATACCACAAAAGGAAGGTTGGGATTGATTTTGGGGGTTATGGTACCAACAGTTAAGGAATTAGGGGCCAAAAAGGGGCCAAAAATGAGCATTTTCTAGTTTCCAGACAATAACTGTGGAACGGTGTATGGATCTCTCTGAAATTATACTACAAGTTTCCATACCACAAAGGGATGGTTAGGATTTGCTTTGGGGGGTTATGGCTCAAACCGTTTAGGAATTAGGGGCAAAAAAGGGGGAAAAACAAGGTTGTCCTGGTTAATGGACAAATACTTTAGTACAAAACATAATTTAAAGCAGTGTAAGGGAGATAAATCAAATACATCATTGAAATTATCTCCCTTACACTGCTTTTAAATTATGTATAAAGTAATGGTTAATGAACAATAAAGATAATCTAAAACAGTGTAAGGGAGGTAATCAAAATACAACGTTTTGGTTACTTCCCTTACACTGCTTTTAAATTATGTTTAAAGAAATGCATATTTATAAAGGAAGACCAGTAAAAATATCTGCAAATGTTTTCATCTTTTTTTTTTACAAAAAAATCCATATGAAAGATTTGACACTATATTTTTATTAATTCTATTATAAAATAGATTAAGTTAGCACTATGGTAAATTTAAATGGGTAATTATGGTTGCCAACTCCATTGGAAATTTGAATTGAGATTATGACCATATCTTGAGGGAAAGAATTTTTTTGGGGGAAAAAGGGGGGGGGGGATAAAAAGAAATTGTGGGGGGCCAATTTTTTCTCATTTCAGATTTCAGAAATTAAAAAAAATTATTCTTCAAATATTATTTTTTTTTCAAATTTCAAATATTGAAAAATTTCAAGAAGTAATCTTTAATTGCACAGTATGGCGCATTAGATTTGTAAAATCTTTGATCACATTTATTTATTTGTTATGCCGAATCTAACAGTGTATTTAGATTTTTAATTTTGGGTCCAGTTTTCAAATTGGTCTACATTAATGTCCAAAGGGTCCAAAATTAAACTTTGTTTGATTTTAGCAAAAATTGAATATATGAGGTTCTTTGATATGCTGAATCTAAACATGTATTTTGATTTTTGGCCCAGTTTTCAAGTTGGTCCAAATTGGGGTCCAAAATTAAACTTTGTTTGATTTCAACAAAAATTGAATATATGGGGTTCTTTGATATGCTGAATCTAACCATGTATTTAGATTTTTTATTTGTGGACCCCGTCATCTAATTGGTTCATATTGAGGTCAAAAGGGTCCAAAATTAAACTTTGTTTGATTTCATCTAAAATTGAATTATTGGGGTTCTTTGATATTCCAAATCTAACCGTGTATTTAGGTTTTTAATTTTGGGTCCTGTTTTTTAAATTGTCTTCATTGAGGTCCAAAGGGTCCAAATTAAACTTAGTTTGATTTTAACAAAAATTGAATTCTTGGGGTTCTTTGATTTGCTGAATCTAAACATGTGTTTAGATTTTTGTTTATGGGCCCAGTTTTCAAGTTGGTCCAAGATAGGGTCCAGTATTTAAACTTTGTTTGATTTCAACAAAAATTGAATATATGGGGTTCTTTGATATGCTGAATCTAAACATGTATTTAGATTTTTGATTATGGGCCCAGTTTTCAAGTTGGTCCAAATTGGGGTCCAAAATTAAACTTTGTTTGATTTCAACAAAAATTGAATATATGAGGTTCTTTGATATGCTGAATCTAACCATGTATTTAGATTTTTTATTTGTAGGCCCCGCTATCAAATTGGTTCATATTGAGGTCAAAAGGGTCCAAAATTAAACTTTGTTTGATTTCATCGAAAATTGAATTATTGGGGTTCTTTGATATGCCAAATCTAACCGTGTTTTTAGATTTTTAATTTGGGTCCCGTTTTTTAAATTGGTCTTCATTGAGGTCCAAAGGGTCCAAAATTAAACTTAGTTTGATTTTAACAAAAATTGAATTCTTGGGGTTCTTTGATATGCTGAATCTAAACATGTATTTAGATTTTTGATTATGGGCCCAGTTTTCAAGTTGGTCCAAGTTGGGGTCCAAAATTATACTTTTTTTGATTTCAACAAAAATTGAATATATGGGGTTCTTTGATATGCTGAATCTAACCATGAATTTAGATTTTTTATTTGTTGGCCCCGCTATCAAATTGGTTCATATTGAGGTCAAAAGGGTCCAAAATTAAACTTTGTTTGATTTCATCAAAAATTGAATTATTGGGGTTCTTTGATATTCCAAATCTAACCGTGTATTTAGATTTTTAATTTTAAGTCCCGTTTTTTAAATTGGTCTACATTAAGGTCCAAAGGGTCCAAAATTAAACTTAGTTTGATTTTAGCAAAAATTGAATTCTTGGGGTTCTTTGATATGCTGAATCTAAACATGTGTTTAGATTTTTGATTATGGGCCCAGTTTTCAAGTTTGTCCAAGTTGGGGTCCAAAATTCAACTTTGTTTGATTTTAACAAAAATTGAATATATGGGGTTCTTTGATATGCTGAATCTAACCAAGAATTTTGATTTTGGACATTGGACCATAATAGGTAAATTAAAAAAATTCAAGTTCTTAGACCACATTCTTTCTGTGTCAGAAACCTATGCTGTGTCAAATATTTAATAACAATCCAAATTCAGAGCTGTATCAAGCTTGAATGTTGTGTCCATACTTGCCCCAACTGTTCAGGGTTCGACCTCTGCGGTCGTATCAAGCTGCGCCCCAGCGAAGCATTTTATTGTGGATTGAGGAAAACTTTTTCTTGATATTTGATTTCGTGGTTTTGCCAGTCTACTGTGGATTCATTTATTTTCGTGGGTATCAATTTTTCGGGATTGCTGAAAACTTGCATTTTCGTTGATATTTGATTTTGTGGTTTTGCCAATCTCTGTATACAAAGCCTATTGAAAATATGTTATTCGTTGAACATTTGAATTCGTGTTTCATCTGTACCCACAAAACCCACGAAAATTGGTATCCAAGGAATAATAATGAATCCACAGTATATACAAGCTTATAGAAAATGTGTACTTTGTTGAACATTTGAATTGGTGGTTTACCATTACAAATAAAATCCACGAAAATCAGTATCCCACTTTTAAAAATTAATCCACAGTACATGATAATTCCTTGGAATTTTAACCTTAATAATTTCTAAAGGATACAAGCTGTGATGCTGAAAATGGTATGCAGCCTGTTTTTCATGTTGAATGATATTAACTCAAAAAGACAAGGCTCTAACTCAGAATAAGATGTATCATTTGGAAATCATTAAATGTGGTTGGTTTTCAATAGACCACTTTTGAGTTATTTCCTTCACTTGAAAAGTTCATCAATTATGCATGCCTTTATGACGTCATTTACCAGATAGAGGGGAACGCCTGTACCGCTGCACTATTAAAGATCATCAAGAGTTTTCTTGATTGTCATTATGCAGGCTAATTTAGAAATAATGTTTGTTCCGTAGGTACTTAATCACAATTCCTTAATGACAGCAGTGCTGATTAACAATTATAAGAATTTATGGTAATTTGCCAAATAATTCATACAAATATAGCATCATATTTTTTCAACCACTCGCTCAACATGGGAAGGAAGTGACGATTCCCCTAGTGATGTTCACTAAAACCAAATTTTTGACGGAAATATAACGAACTCGAAAGTGGTCTATTGGAAAGGGGTATTTAAGGGATGAAACAATTTGGTAATAATTACAGATACATGTATTATTCTTTGATTTTCACCAGTAACAATTGTTCTGAGTAGCTGTATTCCATAATTAGTTGATTGACCTCTTGGCTGTGCAACGTTATAAAAAACTTCAGAGACAATAATAACTATGAAATGAAAAAAAATGTATATAGATAAATGACCCAGATTCTAAGAAATTCCTGATAATTATAGCACTTGTTTTTAGTGTAAATAAGAATTGCCTTTATACAGTATAAAACAGGCTCTGCTTGTAACATCTTATGATATAATACATGTATTGTGTTTTCAGATATAAAAAGAATAAACAACCAGGCAGTTTATGCCTTGAACACAGGAATGATAATTATTGGAGGTGGAGTGATCAAACATCATATATGTAATGCTAATTTAATGGTATGTTTAGGATTGATTAGTAGATTGATGACCCTAAAAGGAAAAATCTAAGCTGTTTTGTACATGTGTGTTCCTGATTATATAAGATCAAAGGCATATTTGAAATATTGAAGCTTTAATATCACAAAAAAAATATTTTCCTATCTCTGACAAATCTTTATCATATTGTGCAAATATTTCTTACCTTTTAAAAAGAGCTGTTATTTGTTTTTGTTGTCTAATGTTTAAATACAACTTATACTACTATATTGAAAATACATTTTTCCCAAAATACAGTAGATTATAATTAGATTTATATTAAAGCATGTGACCTCTGTGAAAAAATCACACAACTCTGTTAATATTCTAGTGTTTCTTAACAGACTCTCATTTTATAAATAAGTTAACAATTTCGTTCCTATTGAAATGTTTATGAATAATATGTGTTGTTATACGACCGCAAAAAAATTTTGAGGTCGTATATTGGTATGACGTTGGCGTCGTCGTCGTCGTCGTCCGGCGTCGTCGTCCGAATACACAATGGTTTTCGCACTCTAACTTTAGTTTAAGTGAATGGATCTCTATGAAATTTCACCATAAGGTTCAATACCACAATAGGAAGGTGGGGATCGATTTTGGGGGTTATGGTACCAACAGTTAAGGAATTAGGGGCCAAAAAGGGGCTGAAAATAAGCATTTTTGTAACTTCCAGACATAACTTGTGTGTTAGCATATGGATCTCTTTGACATTGTACCACAAGATTCCATATCACAAAGGGTCAATGCTGGGATTGATTTTGGGGTTAATTGCCTCAAAATTTTAGGAATAAGGGGCCAAAAGGGGGCAAAAAACAAGCATTTTTCTAGTTTCATGACAATAACTTGTGTGTAAGTGTATGGATCTTTCTGAAATTTTACTACAAGGTTCCATTTCACAAAGGGAAAGCTGGAATTGAGTGTTGTGGTAATTGCCCAAAACGTTTAGTAATAAGGGGCCTAAAAAGGGGTTTAAAATAAGCATTTTTTAGTTTCTAGACAATAACTTGTGTTCAAGTGTATGGATCTCTCTAAAATTGTATTACAAGGTACCATACCACAAAGGCAAGGCTGTTATTGAGCTTGGTTTGGGGGGAAAGGGGGGTGGGGGTGATGAATCATAAGGGGGTGGGGGTCAAAAAAGGGGTAATTTTTTTTTTTCCTTTTTTTTTTGTTTAAAATTTACATTTTAAGTTAGTTATTTTTTATCACGAAGAGAAAGTAGGAATTGAGTTTTGGGGTTAATTGCTCAAACATTTATGAATAAGGGGCCAAATATTGGTCAAAAATAAGGATTTTTTTAGTTTACAACAAAAACTTGTGTTCAAGTGTATGGATCTCTGTGAAATTGTATTGCAATGTACCATACCACAAATTGAAGGTTGTGATTGAGGTGGGGGATGATGAATCAAAAGGGGGTTGAAAAAATGTGTGGGAGGTAGGATTTTTTTTTTTCCTTTTTTTTTCTTTAAAATTTTCCATTTAAAGATGGTTGTTTCAGATTTATATATGAAAGAAAATAATAATGATACGGTTATATATCATGAGGAATTGAAATTTAAAATTATGTATATTGGAAATTTAAGTTACATTGGAAAGTAATAATTGGCTTTGGGGGTGGGGGGGGGGTGGTTATGGCTCTAATGTTTAAGGAATAAGGGGAAAAAAGGTTAAAAAACAAGGGTTTCCATTTTAATAGACAAATAATTGAGTAAAGAACATTATTTAAAAGCAGTGTAAGGTTGGTAATTCAAACTCATTTAAATATCTCATCTACACTGCTTTTAAATTATGTAAATTGGAAATTTGCCAATAACTTTATTGTTAATAAATGCATTGGAAATTTGCCAACAATTTTAGTGTAATAAACTTCATTGGAAATTTGCCAATATAAAATTTTGCTGATGAAGGTTTTTTGTTTACCTTTAGCCTTGACTATGAAGTCATTTTCTATTTTTATAGCCTTATGATGTAGTTGAATTATTTAATACTTTTATGATGTGTTTAAATGGGGTTTTATCATGTTTATGGTTGCAAATTTATTGTTTTAGTATAATAAACTCCATTTAAAATTTGCCAATAAAAAATTTTTTTGTTTATTTTTAGCTATGATTATGATGTCATTTTCTATTTTACTTTTATGGTTGCAAAGAAATTTTTATTTTTAGATATTACTGTTAAATGATGCTGATTAAGGTTTTTGCTATGTTTAGCCATGACTATGATGTCATTTTCTATTTTAATATCTGTTATGATGTATTTAAATGGGCTTTTATGGTTACAAAGGAATTTTATTTTTAGATATAACTATAAAATGTTGCTGATGCTGATTAAGGATTTTGTTTATTTTTAGCCATGACTATGATGTCATTTTCTATTTTAATACCTTTATGATGTAATTTCCATTTTTAGATATTACTGTTAAATGATGCTGATTAAGGGTTTTTAGCCATGTTTAGCCATGACTATGATGTCATTTTCTATTTTAATATCTTTATGATGTATTTAAATGGGCTTTTATGGTTACAAAGGAATTTTATTTTTAGATATTACTTTAAATGTTGCTGATTAAGGATTTTTGTTTATTTTTAGCCATGACTATGATGTCACTTTCTATTTTAATACCTTTATGATGTATTTAAATGGGCTCCCATGTATTTAGATTTTTGATTATTTATACATGTTACCAAATTGGTCCACATTGAACAAAAACGGTCCAAATTTCAACTTTATTACATTACATCAAACATTGAATTCTACATATTCTTCGATATATTGAAATTAACAAACAATTTAGTTTATGGATATTCCACCATAATAGGTAAATTAAATTTTTTCCAGTTCTTACACCACATTCATCCTGTGTCAGAAACCTATGCTGTGTCAAATATTTAATGACAATCCAAAGTCATAGCTGTATCAAGCTTGAATTTTGTGTCCATACTTGCCCCAACTGTTCAGGGTTCGACCTCTGCGGTCGTATCAAGCTGCGCCCCAGCGAAGCATTTTATTATGTTTACAGAGAAATGGAGCAGATTTTAGTGTATTTATCAACACAGCCTCCGAGTTTGATGGAAGTGATTCTGGTGCCAGGCCAGATGAAGCAATATCCTGGGGAAAGATTAAAAAGACAGCTACACCTGCAAAGGTAAGATGGTTATGGATTATTATAAAAAAAAGTAATATTTTAGTAATACATATATATGAGATTTGACTTGTCATGCTTGATGAATATCCAAGTAGTCCATAATTTACCAAAGATTGATTAACACTTGATAAAATTGGATAATTAAATATATTAAAGGACAAACTTGGAAAGTAAATTTGTTAATGTATTTCTAGTGAACAGTCATTATCATTAAAAATGTCTTATATAGTTGCAGAAAGAAAGTCTTGTGAAATGTTGAAACTTCTATATCAACTTTTGCATTTATTTCCCTTTTCTGTAAACAAATTCTGTAAACAAATGCAAAAATGAAGTGGTTATTTCTGGTGTCACAGATCAGGGTCATGGTCTGAGTTGTAAAGTAATGGTGTACTTTTGAAATCTATTAGTTTGGATGCTCTAGTATAATCTTGCCATCATATAAAGCAGATTTTTTTTCAAGCAAATTATTGATTTTGATTGTTCCAAAACTGTATGATTTAAAGGTGAAAGTATCATTTTGTAGGTTTATGGAGAGGCAACATTGATATTTCCCTTGATAATGGCAGAGACATTTGCAAGGAGGGAAAAAGAATTCAAGGAGTTAAAAGCTCAGAGTGAGCATAGACCATAGTCAGCAGCCATAATCAATAACTTATCATGCAAAACCTAAATAAGCTGGGTCTAAACTATACCAGGATAAGAAGATAGTCTTCAGTACAGTTTCAAAGATCAGAATCTTACTCTGGAACATGGCCTGACAGTGATCAAGATGCTTTTCAGACAAAGAAAGTTCTAGATTGCAAGTGGCATGAAGTGCTGTGTTTTATATCTTTCTTTTCTCTATAAGAATAGGGAAACATTATACTACACTTCAAGATATTGCCCTCCTTGGAAAGAGTATCAAATGGTTCCAGCTCGTAGCTTTATGAGTTTAACATTCAATTATGCATGTAATTTCCATTGTAACAAAAAAAATCACTTGATAACAGATTATTTTGCTATAAAAAATTATTTATTCTCCCTAAATTAGTTTTAATGTACTTATTATTTTTCTGTGCTGTAAGGAGATAAAACAACCAAAACACTTCATAGAACTTTTTATTTTCTGACACAATTCTGTGTCCGCTCTTAATTTTAATATACATTTCCTAATCAATATTCTATGATTATGTCATGCAGTGCCTTGCACAGCCATTTTTTTTTAACAAGTGTATTTACAAATAAATTTAAAGATTGAATCATGACTAGCTGATTAGTAGTGATATAAAATATACTTTTTAGACTTTTATCAGATTTATAATAATGAAAATGTAAAAATTTGACTACTGCTACAAGAATTTTTTGTTGTTATTTACTGCCATTTTAAGTAATCTTGGCTTCACCATGGTCGCCAGTTTACATTGGTGGAGTATCTGGAGAGTTCCACAACCTTCAGCAGGAAAACTAGCAATCCTTGTCAATTGCCCTGTCAGACTCAAACATACCTAGCCACAAGTGGGATTTCAACCTCACAACCAAAGAGTTGACAGACTAGACTAGTGACCACTGTAGACCACTTGTCCACCCAGGATCCCTCAGTAACAAAAAATGTTTGATACACACATTTTTCATATCTTACTATAAAAGGTGAGATTTTTTTGTGTTCAACGTATGAGATGTGATGAGTTTGAATAGACAGTGTCTTAAAAGGTCAAAATTAAGAAAAAAGTTTCAATCCTATTTCTTTATTTTCAAGAGTACGTAAATATAAGTCAATGTTAATATTTCTGCGTTATTGTTTCAGATACATTATTATGTTTCATTATTAAATAGAAGTCACATGCAAAGTTTTGTATTGTTATGTAACATGATATGCCTACTGAGGTGCAACAACATTCTGGAATAATGAAACATTTAATTTCTGAATGTTTGACTGTCTTACAACAATGGTGTATGGATGTTTTCTAGAATTTCATATGACTGATGTTAAATGAAATGTCCTTTAACATGTAATTGTAGAACTGTTCAAATCGTCATGATCATCAAACATATCAATCTATGTGGCAGTCAAAAGTTGTTCACTGCATATATATATATGTCAGAAAGTGTACAACAAAATGGATTTTAATAAAATGTCCATAATTATGTAACTGCAAAACTGGTCACATCATCAAACCATTTACCAGTAATTTGGAAGGCAATTCAAGTTGTTCATGGACTATATAGACATGTATGTAAACAAATGTACATAACAAGATAGTGTTGAGCCTCCCTCTGAATAAACTACACAGAGAACAATAGCTATTGTATTTATTCAATGGGACAAGTGAACTGACAAAAGTTTTAATTGACAGGTAAACTGCAAATGATTCTATTGAAAACTTTCAATTCTTCCACAATAAAAGTATGCTAAATTCAGGTTTTGAATGAAATGATATGCAGCTTTATGCTGTCTACTATGAGTAGGTCAACTTTCCCTAAATTGTCAAATGACTGCTTATCAGAGTTATTGCCTTTGAAAGATGGTTTTTATCCATTTTTATACGACCGCAAAAATTAAAAATTTTTTGGTCGTATATTGGTATGACGTTGGCGTCGTCGTCGTCGTCGTCGTCGTCGTCGTCTGGCGTCGTCCGGCGTCGTCCGAAGACACATTGGTTTTCGCACTCTAACTTTAGTTTAAGTGAATGGATCTCCATGAAATTTTACCATAAGGTTCAATACCACAAAAGGAAGGTTGGGATTGATTTTGGGGGTTATGGTACCAACAGTTAAGGAATTAGGGGCCAAAAAGGGGCCAAAAATAAGCATTTTTGTAACTTCCAGACAATAACTTGTGTGTAAGTGTATGGATCTCTCTGACATTGTACCACAAGGTTCCATATCACAAAGGAAAGGCTGTAATTGATTTTGGGGGTAATTGCCTCAAAATTTTAGGAATTAGGGGCCAAAAAAGGGACAAAAAACAAGCATTTTTCTAGTTTCATGACAATAACTTGTGTGTAAGTGTTTGGATATTTCTGAAATTGTACTACAAGGTTCCATATCACAAAGGGAAAGCTGGAATTGAGTTTGGGGGTAATTGCCTGAAACGTTTAGGAATTGGGGGCCAAAAAGGGGCCAAAAATAAGCATTTTTCTAGTTTCCAGACAATAACTTGTGTTCAAGTGTATGGATCTCTCTGAAATTGTACTGCAAGGTACCATACCACAAAGGGAAGGCTGGGATTGAGTTTGGGGGTGATGAATCATAAGGGGGTTCAAAAAATTTGGGGGGGGGATTTTTTTTTTTCTTTTTTTTTCTTTTTTTCCTTTTTTTTTTCTTTTAAAATTTTCCATTTTAAGTTGGTTATTTCTGATTAATATTTAAAAGCAAATAATAATGATATGGTAGGAGATACACACCAAACAGGATGTGTAAATTATTATCTAATAAGTATTGCACAATAGCAAGAAATCTTCAATTGCACAGTATTGCGCAATAGCAAGAAATCTTCAATTGCACAGTATTGCGCAATAGCAAGAAATATCCAATAGCACAATATTGCGCAATAGCAAGAAATTGTCAATTGTACAGTATTGCGCAATAGCAAGAAATATTCAATTGCACAGTATTGTGCAAAAGAAGATACTTCGTATAAATTGCTTATTTCTTGATCAATTTCAATGGGGTTTTATTCTTGAATTCTTGGGGTTCTTTAATATGCTGAATCTAACCGTGTATTAAGTTTTTGGATTTTGGGCCCCGTTTTTAAATTGGTCCACATTGAGGTCCAAAGGGTCCAAAATTTAACTTTGTTTGATTTCATCAAAAATTGAATTATTGGGGTTCTTTGATATGCTGAATCTAACCGTGTATTTAGATTCTTAATTTTTGGTTCCGTTTTCAAATTGGTCTACATTAAGGTCCAAAGGGTCCAAAATTAAACTTAGTTTGATTTTAACAAAAATTGAATTTTTAGGGTTCTTTGATATGCTGAATCTAAACATGTATTTAGATTTTTGATTATGGGCCCAGTTTTCAAGTTGGTCCAAATCGGGGTCCAAAATTAAACTTTGTTTGATTTCAACAAAAATTGAATATATGGGGTTCTTTGATATGCTGAATCTAACCATGTATTTAGATTTTTGATTTTTGGGCCCCGTTATCAACTTTGTCCACATTGAGGTCAAAAGGGTCCAAAATTTAACTTTGTTTGATTTCATCAAAAATTGAATTATTGGGGTTCTTTGATATGCCGAATCTAACCGTGTATTTAGATTCTTAATTTTTGGTTCCGTTTTCAAATTGGTCTACATTAAGGTCCAAAGGGTCCAAAATTAAACTTAGTTTGATTTTAACAAAAATTGAATTTTTAGGGTTCTTTGATATGCTGAATCTAAACATGTATTTAGATTTTTGATTATGGGCCCAGTTTTCAAGTTGGTCCAAATCGGGGTCCAAAATTAAACTTTGTTTGATTTCATCAAAAATTGAATTCTTGGGGTTCTTTGATATGCTGAATCTAACCATGTATTTAGATTTTGGATATTGGACCATAATAGGTGAATGTCCAATTTAAAATTTTTAAGTTCTTAGACCACATTCATTCTGTGTCAGAAACCTATGCTGTGTCAAATATTTAATCACAATCCAAATTCAGAGCTGTATCAAGCTTGAATGTTGTGTCCATACTTGCCCCAACTGTTCAGGGTTCGACCTCTGCGGTCGTATCAAGCTGCGCCCTGCGGAGCATTTTATTGGAAAATGATGCTATTAGCGGCATGTTTCCGATACCATTGACCAGAACTTAAGGAAGTCGATTATTGCCTCCGCCTACCGCACTCGATTTCATATTTACTATTTTACATACTAACTGGAATTATATGCTTACGAGACATGTTGCAATGTTAAACTTATTACGACATGTGAAAATCAAGACTTGCATAAAAAATATCTCAATATTAGAGACAGTGGCGTCATTTTTCCTCAGAGCTTTCAGCTCTTTGATTTTCATTTTTTGCATAAACCATTATTGATGTAGAGAAAATGTAAATAGCAAAGATGTTTAAAGCACAATAAAAAATACAAATAAGTCAACAAGATCAAAATTGTCAACAGACTCCTTTGAGGAGTCATGGACGAAGTTGATAACAGTCTTCTTGTAGAAGTTTTATTTTCATGAATGATGATTTTTATCCATTTTTATACAACCGCCAAAAAATTTGCGTATATTGGTATCACGTTGTCGTCGAATGTGTCGTCTTTTCTGTTCTCTAATTTAAGTTAGCCTCAATCAAATGTTATGAGATTTACACACAATACTTATTTTCACAAAACTCAGATCAAGTACAAATTTGGGTAGCGTCACTTATACAGTTCTCCAGTTATGTCCCTTTATAATTTTATATAATATGCAAGCGGGGGCATCATCTGTGTCCCATGGACACATTCCCTATTTATTTTTAACTAGTGTATTTACAAATAAATGTAAAGTTTTTCATACAAGATTGAATCATGACTAGCTGATTGGTAGTGATATAAAATATAGTTTTTTTAGACCTTTATCAGATTTATAATAATGAAAATGTAAAAATTGACTACTGCTTCAAGGATTTGTTGTTGGTATTTATTGCCATTTTAAGTAATCTTGGCTACATCATGGTCGCCAGTTTGTATTGGTGGAGGAAGCTAGAGTATCTGGAGAGTTCCATAACCTTTGGCAGGAAAACTAGCAATTCTTTTCAATTGCCCTGTCAGACTCAAACATAAATAGCCACAAGTGGGATTTCAACCTCACAACCAAAGAGTTGACAGACTAGACTAGTGATCAATGTAGATAAACTGCATAGACCACTTGTCTACCCAGGACTCCTCAGTAACAAAAAAAGTTTTATACATTTCTCATATCTTACTACAAAAAGGTGAGATTCTTTTATGCCCCCGCCATAGTGGAGGGGGCATTAAGTTTTACCCTTGTCCGTCTGTACGTACGTACGTCCCAAAATTGGTTTCCGTTCTCTAACTTTAGTTTGCCTCAACCAAATGTTATGAAACTTATACACAATGCTTATTACCACAAAACACAGATCAAGTTTGAATTTTGGTGGCGTCACTTTTACTGTTCTAGAGTTATACCTTTTACAAATGGAAAATTGCTGTATTTATCGTTTCCGTTCTCTAACTTTAGTTTGCCTCAACCAAATGTTATGAAACTTATACACAATGCTTATTACCACAAAACACAGATCAAGTTTGAATTTTGGTGGCGTCACTTTTACCGTTCTAGAGTCATGCCCCTTTACAAATGGAAAAATGCTTAATTTTTCGTTTCCAATCTCTAACTTAAGTTTGCCTCAACCAAATATTATGAAACTTATACACAATGCTTATTACCACTAAACACAGATCAAGTTTGAATTTTGGTGGTGTCACTTCAACCATTCTAGAGTTATGCCCCTTTAGAAATGGAAAAATTGCAAAATTTTTATTTTCTTCTAAATATCAAGTAATTTTATTAAAATTGGAGTTATCTTCCTTTGTCCATGATTATAGTTGAATCAACTACAATCAATGCTTTATACAATGCAATGTTTAATTATTTTGACTTCCACTGATAAAACACAGTTCAAGTTGAATTTGGGTAGTGTCACTTTAATCATGATTGAGTTATGCCCCTTTATAAATCGAAAGATTGCAAAATTATTAGTTTCCATTCTGTAACTTAAGTTTGCCCAAACCAAACATTATGAAACCTATACACAATATTCATTACCACAAAACTAAGATCAAGTACAAATTTTTTGTTTCCGTTTTCTAACTTTAGTTTGCCTCAACCAAATGTTATGAAACTTATACACAATGCTTATTAC